GAATAGTGGACCAGGTTTTTTTTATTGGGACGGTACCGACTCGGGCGAGGTTCCTTGGCACCATGTCCGCACGATTTATCAAGGTATCCATTGATTGTATGGTTTAACGCGCCGACGCAACGCAGGCGATGAAGCGCGCCGTAGGGGAGAGCTCAGGATCAAGTTTTACTACCTGGGAATCTTTATTGTGTGCCGAAATCTCGTACACACGGGCGTTTTTGCTTTTCGCCTCCATCAGAAATGCGGCCGCCGCAGCCGGGTATCGAAACTGCGCCCTAGTGCTCAGCAGCGCTACGCCTTAGCCACTGAGCCACCGTTGCGGGGGAACTTATCAAGGTATCAAGAAATAATGAATATCGTGAATGGAATAATGCGTATTTATTTATCACAGCCAGACGTCGTCTGTACAAATATCACAGTGCACATTGTTCTCGGTCCAGGCAGACGACAGGCAACACAAGATGTTGCCCTTAATGCTGAAAATATGCCAAAAGTACAAAACACAATATCTTGCCACATCAAACTCAGAAAACAAAACAGATTGTAACAGTAAAAACATCCCCGAGCTTTGGAACAGAAAAAGCACACTTTCATTTAAATTGTAGGTTAGAGGAAAACATACCATTCGTTTATCATAGTAGCAGTAGCAACACAAGGTATCAGGTTCAAACACTTGCCAAAAAATACAATACATAAGAACACTGGTGACTAAATTGTGGTCCACAGCATGATAAATGACAGAAAGAAAAGTAATTGTATTGCCACAGGTAGGTGCATGTCCTAGGGAAAAAATCAAACAAAAATCTAAGAAAAAACAAATCACAGTGCACAACATGTCTGTACACAGAGTGCACAAGGAAAGTGTACACAGCTTAGGTACCAAAACGGACTGTACAACTGCTACAGTGGGCACCGAGGCAGTTCGAGTTAAAAAAAAAGAAAAAAGTACACCACCTTTAAAAGCTAACAACTTGTAAAGAGATACAAAACTGGAAACAAGGCTCAAACAAGGGAATGTATTGCTTGAGCCAGGTGGCAATAAGTGCAGCGCTCCTCAGACAGCATCGACAGGTTGTTCAAAATTTCCAACAAGGAACTTACTTTTTGAACTGAGTCTGGTACAACAGCGCTACCAAGGTTCTTGATTGGTGAACCTTGATAGCAGGCAAAGACTTCAAGGTTTGCAAACACGGTCAATGACGCATTCAAACAAGGTTCACGATAGTCGATAATGTTCAAAAACATGGAGCACTCTTCTTTATGAATCACAGTCCACTTCGGAGACACTGACACCCCTTGCAGGCGAGCCCTTAGTTCTTCGAGGGACGAAAACCGGTCTCGTTCTTGCTCCGCTTCATATGACGCCAGCGACTCTTCTACAGCACGGGCGAGTTGGGAGGCTTCTTGTCGGCTCCTCTTGGCGTCAGGGGTTTCTCTCGTGCTCTGGTCTCGTACTGATAGGTAGGACGGACAGCCGGGAAATACCGTTGGGACAGATCCAGGACGCAACCGTGGTACTGGGAGTGCAACTTCAATAACTCTCCCTGTCCTTGGATCCGTCTACGATGTCGTCTTCTCAATGCATGAAGCGTCGAAATGATCCGCGCACACCTGCACAAACGTTTCAAGAACGTCTGAGACGCACTTCTCAAAAGAAAAAAATGCGCTCCCGTTTGCATGACCGTGTTTACAGTCCGTGTAGCTAAAACAAAGTCTACCTACGTTTCGCAAGCATCTAAATAAAAGCGCTGCGCTAAGCGGTACAAGCAACATGAAAGGAAACACGGGAGCGTGATGTCACCGCACTCCACGAAGCGCTTCCACCGAGAGCTTGCAAGAATGGACGACACCACGGCACTGTTAGTGAACAAAGCGCAGCTGACCATCCTTGCTGCGAACGCTGCTGGCGTCAGCGCTTCGCGAGGCCCGAGGGCCACACGCTCAAGTATTTCCCATCATAGGTGATTTCTACCCGAACAAGCAACGACAAGCTAAGAACAGGAGCATCTCAAATTCTTACCTTAGTGCACGAAGTCGGCACGAAGTCCTTCCTAGGAATGGCGCGTAGCCATTGTTTGAGAGCGTCGGCGTCTTTAAGGAAGGAAAACACTTGTATCTTCTTTCCTGTTTTGTAGTTGCCGGTGCATCCGGGTACACAACACTTATTCGGCATTGTCGCATCACTCCAGCATCACGCACGGAAACGAAATTGCCGCAAAACAACAACGGAAAGCAACAAACGTGAAACACCGTCAACACCACGCCGCCGAACCGTCACCACCGCCGCTCGCGCTGCGCTCGCTGCCGCTGCGGCTTCCCCGAGAGTCGGCCGGCCGGAAATGACGTCAGATTGCTGGGCGCAGGCCTGAAAAGATTTTCCGGGGGTGACGAACGTACACGAGTCGGTCCCGCAGGCCCTTCGCAGTACGACGGGAAAAGCGCGTGCACGTTTCCTGTCGCCATATCGCTCGAATAACGCCGAAAAACTCCGACGCGGCGGTAAGCTGCACCGCGAAGCCCGACGCAAAAACATGACGGTCCCTCGTTTTGATAGCCGGAAATGACGTCACGCGCAACTCATGTCAACGCCTACTTTAGAAAGATGCCAGCCACTGTAGCCGAACAGCTGGTTCGCGGCCCTCTCCTGTTCTCTCCTCCTCCGCTCCCCCAAACAGTGTCGACTTCGAGCGCTCGCTGCGGCGCCCGTTTTAAACCTTGCCGCCTTTGAGATTGAAGCAATGTCTACTGCCGTCTATATCGAAGCAAGGTTTGTGTTACAATGCAGCTACACCTGGTAGTGAATCACATGATGTAAAGATGAGCTACTTAAACTTGACAAATTTTATTGCATGTTCCGGAATAAGCAAGCACTGCTACCAAAGTACACATGTATATAACAAAGAAACTTTCAGTACACTGAAATGCACTAAACTAAACTCCCATTGGCATATATTGTTTTATTATAATTTTCGGAATTAAGCAGGGTTTCAAATATACATAATTTTCACAACATTTGTACACACATGTGGTTGCATTTGTTCAAATCCATTTCTAAAACATGTATGTAGTCAAATACACAACATTTTTACCTATGCAACGGCCAAGGTTTTTTGGCAATTTCACGGTCATGGCCATCTTGACTAGCAAAAGCAAGTTTCAGAAAAACTGAAAACCTTGCTTGAAATAAATGGCTTCTAGTGCATTGTAAACAAATGGGATAAAATACCAATTTTTGAATATGTCATCAATACAATAACTATTTGTGATAACTTTTCTTTAAGACTATAATTAAATAAAAAAAAAGCTCCTTTGCAGTTTGAAATGTTCCTGGTGCACTGGTATGCAGCCATCACAGCTAAGCAACAGAGTAGACTTCATCATGTTCATGCTGAATGGTGATGTTTACTGCAGTAAATATTCAAAAATGACTGTGCACTATGTAATGCCAGATAGCTGTTCATACATTACAATGTTGGACATGGTGCAATTATCCATGGAAGGCTGCCTTTGAGCTATATTTTGATTATATAAATTAACGAAACAAAACAAAAAACATTGAAAAGTCATGCTTACAATGTGCACATACACGAACTGTGACACAGATTAGGAAGACTTCTACAAGAAGGAAGACACCATGGCAATGAACTGCTTCGATTTCATGCTTATAACCAATGCCTGTGCCACAGACTGGTACAACATTTAAAAGAAAGAGATATGCTTAGATATGACTGTGTGCAATGACGTTCAAGGGTGGTAGAAGGAAGCCTGCCCAATTATCACTTTAGAGGGACTTAAAGAAAGTCAGTCAGATCCTGTCACAAAATGCAGGTGGAAGCAGAAAGACTTCAGTTATAATGACGGAACCGAGCATTGTTTTCAAAGTTTGAATAATATTTCTACTTTATGGTTATACTTAAATCTCATTATATAAACTGCCATGTCATCTGATAGACAAGCTATGGTACTACAGAAACGAGTTGTCCTGAATTACTGCACCACAAGTGAACTAGAGAGGCGGGCCGGCAGTGGCCGCGCATTTCTCCTGGTCGGCAATGGCTGTTCGTAGTATGCCGCTGTTTAGGTGCACCTCAACTAGTGCTTGAAATTAGTGCGTATATTATTGGGTATTGACATTTTATTCCATGCTTATTATAAAATTAAAAGAACTAATGCTGAGAACGGGAAATGCCGTCACAACGACTAGTGAAAACAGGTGGAGCCACGCGGCGTGCGTGCAGTGCATGAATGGTGGTAGGTGAAAGTTGTCTTGTTCACCTACCACCACTTGCAGCAAGTGTTGCATAAAGACTTCATTAACGCGGAAACCTCCCGGCGCACTATCGAAAACAGGCACCTTAAAAATTGATTGTCAGCCCCTTTAAAGCAAAGCTTGATAAAAGTGCAGTTTGAAGCAGGGATGTGGCTTCACAGCAGTGAAAATCATACTGCCATTATGCGTGTAATGGCTGTGTACTAATGAGTCTAATAGAAATTGTCAACAGCTATTCAATAACACCTTGCCTTTTTTTCATTTTTTTTTAACATGTGCACAATGGAATATTGCTTGTAGTATGGCTTGAGAGCATGTGAATCATGAGACTCATTTGAATACAAGTTAGACAGTGCAAAAACTGAGTCGAGCGAAGTGTCCAATGAATTTTAGTAGGTTTTCAAACAGCCATTTTCACAGTTAATACAAAAGAAATTGGTCGGCAGTAAAACTTAACTTCCAGAGCATTGTAGCATGGTGCACTACATACAATTTCATGCTTTGCGGATATGCTGCGCCTGCGGGGATGAAATTTATCACACTTATGCACTGACATAGCATTTATCTGAAGCTAATGACATAGTTAAACACCTGTAAGATATATCTCAACAATATTTACATTTATAAACAGTGGCTATCCGATTCAAAGACATTTTTCATAGTACTAGATAGTCACTTGAACTTGATTTTAAACACTTGCCGTGCCTCGTCAGACATTTTTTTTTTTTGTTCTAGGAAGTGCAGGGAAATTATTTTGTCCAAATGTTGTAATAAGCAGAATTTTCAAGCCTAAATTTTTCCAATAATTGCTGTAAACGATAGATAATCCCATAGACAGAACTGGCAAGGTAGTTCGACAGATATACCAAAGCTGGGAGTTCAACAGCATGTAACCGAGCAGCAACAAAATGACAGTTTGTTGATTGTGCGAAAGTCATTACCACATATTTCCAACTAAAATGAAAGCATACGAAAGAGATCCATAAGTCAAAGCAAGGTACAGATAAAAATACAGCTCTAAAATTGTTTTTTTTTTTTTTTGTCATGATGCCTGATAAAGCAACATAATATTGTGGGCATACAAACACATCTTCTTCCCTCACAGGCTGTTGAAAGTTCAGTAGCAGACTTTCAAGCTTCATTTGCAAGTCGATGTGTCTGTACTCTGAAGAGACGTTTGTTTCCCAACTTGCTCAGTAGAACTATGAGCACCAACAAGAACTGCTGTTGTAAGGATCATGTTTTTGTGCAACGAGGTGGTTTCAGTGTCTTGGGTGATGTTCTGCTGACTTCTACAGGCATGTAATGCTACAAAGGTCAATTACATAAAAAATGTGTCAAAGAGATACCTCTTAGAAAAAATCATGCCTGGGACGTGATCCGCAAGAACGCTGCTCTTCCCTTTCCATTATCCTCCTTTCTACCCGGTACAGTCGCTGGAGCCTCTCGCAACGGCTCCTTGCAACCTGCAGTGGCACCGTTGGTAACTCAAGCAGACGACGCGATGAATGTTGGCGGAAAGAACGGCAGCGTTGATGAAACCGACAGAGGAGTTAATCAAACTAGAGTGTGACAAAACGCATCTCGAACATGCTAGTGATGAGATGTCATAAGCAAGTTCAAAACGATGCTGCGCAAATAAACATAGACAGAAACAGACGCATGCGGAAAAAGCTACAATGCCCGTTTTTGGACAACTTTCCTTGCCTTGATTTCATGCGTTCATGGAAAACGTGATGGGTTATTGAGTTGTGTTTTCGTCTTGCCTATAAATCCAGTTTTGTTGCACGCCCAAATTTTCATCAAGCCTCAGAAAAAAGAGTTGCAGATACCTTCGGAAGGCAGTTTGCATGACCGGTGACTGAAGGTGATTTCGAGAGATAACGGGGCGCTAACATGTAACCCTCTAGCTGCAGTAAGGAGTAACCGACAGGAATGCTGCCACAAAGCTGCTTGGAAAGAAACTTAAGTAGTGAAATATGATTTAGCTTAAGCGAATGTTATCAAAGGAAATGACTGGCACTTGTTAGACTGGCGCTCCTACAGCGCACTCCATTAACGCACAATCAAGCGCCTGCAGAAAGCAGACAGCTGCGCTGCCTCATGACACAACGTTGCAAACACAGTCATTCTCGCTGGCTGCTGCGGTACAGTTGCTAGCACCACCACACGGCACCCTCTAAAAATGAGCGGCAGAGTGCATCTAATGGCAAAGCTAGCAACATCCCAGGCATAGTTTCTTTCTAGGAGGCGTTGGCCCAAGTGTCAGCAAAAACGATCTCACACCCAGAGTAGCCTGCTGGCAAAAAGCGCACATGTCTGCCTCGGAATCAGAAACACCTTTAACTAGTACTACTACATGTTGCCACACGTTATGGCAGCAAGAAAAAATAAATAAATAAAAGTGGACCATTACACTCCTATATGAATATGGATGACCAGCGGAGGTGATAAGCACACTCTCATCTCTGCCCTCGTTGCCGTTCACTGCCTTAGGGCAGTGAATCTTTACAATGCGTGGCGGCCCATACTTACTTCGAACAACCATTCTGACCCCGTACTTCGAGCCAACTGATGCGGTGAAACATGTACTGGCTTGTTTTTATCACTTTAATGCATCAATTTTTTTGCTGTTCTCTGGAGGACACCCGAGTACGAGCAGCGATGCGTAGATCAATGAAGTGCATCTTATGATGCTACAGTGTAAAAGCACGCAGACTAACTGTCATGACAAAGAGTAGAACATGCTTCATTTTGTTGATGACCTCCCGTTCCCCACTCTACCCATTGTCAAACTGAATTGAATCCCATGTATAGAGCCGGTGGCAAACTTTGTTTATAAGCTCCACAAATTACATCATCAAATGTCTACTTGAAAACAACATTGACCTCAGTTATGGAAAGGTGCCGAGCACTATTTTAGCTGGATCATGGATTTCTATTGACTGCAGAAAAATCACTTAACTGTGTCAGCTCTCTTGTGCTGAAAGTATCTTTAGCAAAGCAAAGCTCACTTACAGTGTCAGATCTTTGATACTGCACCAACTGCAGTTGGGCACATACTCTATGCTTTTTGCAAGCTCTGAAAATCCTATTAATTACAGCGATGAGTTTGCTTGAATATGCTAGCTATACAAAAAACAAATAGTTCTCCCAAAAGAAAATTGCTTGTATATTTAAGTATAATAATATGACTACAGCTGAAAATGGACGTTCAGTAAAAATCTTCACTGTATTATACATGCATAAGATTTTGTTGCTGTTTTAATATACTAGTAAAAATAAGCAGCTACACTGCACTGCCTCAAAAATACGAACTGTAAGTTCGAAACACAAGTGCTTTGTTCGTTCATTGAAATACTGGCAGAATGTGTAAGTGACATGTTGTGAGTGTAAAAAGGCTCACAGTAGATGTGTTGCCAGAACATTCGTAAATGATTTCACTATTAATCAAAAAATGTTAGCAGCCATGTACAAACACTTATTGCACTGAAAGACCCCAAAACAAGCATGTCCACCAGTGGAGCTGCATTGAGATTAAGTACTAAAAAAAATAAGACATAGCGCAACAAACATCAACCTGACTAGTCAGCATAAGGTAACATGACTAAGTTAACAAGTGCGTTGGTATCTACCAGGTTATGATGGTCGTTGGTGAACCATGAACAAAATAGTCACATATGTAACTATAGATATCTCGCACTAATGCGTGGCTTTGCAGAGTCTGATGGGGAGTGCAATTAGTAAGTTGTGCCTCAGGCTGAATCATCTACTATCTATTTCCAGGAGAGACGGTTCGCAAACGCTATAGAACGCGCATTTTGCATGGCACGTCAGATGGTTGCACACATGTGGCATTCAATGCCGGAATTCTAAAGGCACCGCTTCACATCAAGCCATTCAAACCTTGTCATGGGGACTGAATAAAAGCGGCATTCTGATAACAATCAACAGGATACCACGCCATAGCAGAATAAACTATCAGTGTTACAAAGAAAAATGGACAAGTTTGTCATGACCTCACTAAACTGCTCAGTATTTTTAAAAATTGAAACAAGGCCTGAGCAAATGCCATTTTCGTTGTTGTTGAAAGGAAGTGGAAACAATTTTCAATAGTAGCAATGTTTAACTTTCGGTGGAATGCAAGTGATAACCTGTAAAAAATGTTGTTTTTCGAAATTCATTATACTTGGAGCACATAAGCCGGTATAACAATCTTTCAAACTTAAAGAACGATGAATCAATGTGAGAGTTCTATGTTCATTTAACTTTGAAGTGGGGCTTCACGGCAGTGCGGATTTCTCCCGGCTAGCTGTTTTCGCTGCTTAGCAGCCCTTCACTGCAGTGAAGCCACCTTTACATACAGTTGCACGTGGGTAATATTTTTTAATTCATTCATTTCGAATACTTCAAAATTTTCCGTTTTATAAATTTGAATTGAAGCAAATTGGAATACTGTAATATTTGTTCGAGTATTCGAAACAATCAAATATATGCACAGGCCTACAATGTGCATTGCAACTGTTTCAAAGAACAAAAAGATATTAAAATAAATTAATGAACCCTGCATTGTAAGGCGCACAGAACGCTGCTTGCCAACAGATAACACTCATGTTCGATGAGGCATCGCAAATTGCGAGAGCGAAGTTCACTTGAATTGGGAAAGTGAACTCTCACAGAATACAATTTGAGAAGTTCTCGGCTATACTAGCACCAGGACATGAAAGAGTCAACAGCAACTGCTGTCAGTGGACGTCGATCTGCAAGAGAGGGACACAAACCCCTAGAGGTCTCGCTTCGAGGCAGGCGTGTTCACAGGAAGATGTCATGCGCCCTGTTGAAGCTCCCTTCGTCTTTTGCCTTCTCCCGGGCTTCATCGATGCCTCCGACGGTGGGAACGTTGTGAGGAAGTTCCAGAAGCTCTTTCTCAAACGACATGATGTTCTCTGCCTCACCTGGGAACAAAGATCACACATTAGCTAAGAGTAATGTAGTACACTGCTTGAAGTACGCTGCAGGAAGTTGTGCAATTTTTTTATGCTGTGGCCGACGAGGATAAAGAATTGTGCCTGACGCTTTTGTAATGTGTTGAAGCATTCTATGACCCACTCGTTAAACTATTCACATTGTATGATGCCTGGTTGTTCTTTTGCTCTACTAAAACACTTTACTACTCCTATGAACACGATTCCTTTCCTGACATCAAGCCTGCCTAAGGCCAGCTTGCAATGGAGTTTCAGGCACCAACGAGGTTGAATACGGAGCTGGCACGCCGGAGACGTAAGTCCGAACTTTATTGTGTTCTTGGTGTTTTTCATTTACTTACTATTTTTTTCTTAATTCACGCAATAGCGGTTACGGACAATGGCAGCGGCGGACGACTACGGCGCACGCAACCGTTGTTGTCATCTTATAACAGCTTTTGCTGTAAAATTGTTGGGGCTTAACATACAAAAACTACTATGTGAGGATGAGAAGCACCAGAGTGGTGGGCTCTGGAAATCCCTACCACCTGGATTCTTTACCCCGAACCTAAATCAAAGCACGTGGGCTTCAGGAATTTTCGCCTCCATCAAAAACGCAGCCACGGTTAAAACCCGTTACCTCCACGTTAGGAGTCGAGCACTAGACCACTGTGGCAGGTCTGGGAAGTGGAACCACCTTCTACATTTCGGTTGGTGACAATTTTTCAGTTTCATTCATCTGTGTTACCAGAGCTACAAATTTCGCAGTTATGGCAACAACGTGTGTCGCAGTAATGGCAAGAATGGAGCTGCATAGTACAATGCACTATGCAGCTCCACGTTACTAAAAAAAGACAATTGTAAGTCGACTCCAATGTTGGTCAACCCCCGAAAATGGCACAGCCTAAAAAAAAAAAAAAAACAGAGGAACACGAACAAATTTTATAAAAAAATCACAACATATCTACCGGAATGAATTATGATGAGTGGAGCGAAGCGTCCGTCAATCCATCCGAGCTTCTGTCCATACGTGTGCCCGTACATGCGTTCGTCCGTCCGTGTATGTACCACACTCCTGCTGTCAGCGCTTTGTTAACACTTAGAGCATGATAATGACGCTGTGCTACGTTTTTCGTAACATGTGGACATGCGGATATGTGCTCGAGGGCGGGTACTACCACTACAACTACATACATAAGAGGATGGACAGACCCATGCTTTAAAAAATTTTTTTTTGACACATTAAAGCCACCGATGTGCAAAGGTGGCTTCACGGCAGTACGTAAAAGTTGCGCCGAAAAGCGAGCTTTGCGGAAATAAGCGGAGATCATTTTCAGAAAGACTTAGCAACACTGAAACTCGTTTTTGATTCTAGGTCGACCCCCCAACATTGGTTTGTCAAATTTGAAAAAAAATGGGTCGACCTGCAATCGTGTAAATACGGTATTTATTGTTCTGAAATGCTCGCATATATACAGAAAGTGCACTATGATACAATTTAGGTAATTGGGGAGAGGATTATCGTACCTTTGATTCTCACAAGCTTGCTCCCGTAGGCGAGGTCACCTTGATAAGCCAAATATGAATGTCATTGGTAAAATAGGGGCTAGGATCAATGGCCTCTTGGTCTTTCGGTACCTGTAAAAAAATAGAATAAAAAATAAAGGTATTGGACCTTTTACAGAGGTCCATTATAAGTTGCATGGGTTCAGCTGTCCCAACTTGAAAAAAATGACCCTGCAAATTGTTCATTTTCGTGTCTTGGTATGCACTGTCACATCGACACTGCTTGAAAGTATAACAGTCACATTTCAACTATCTCATGTTGACCGAACTGTTCATTATTGCAAACGCGAATGCTTCAAATTGAAAGTCCACTTAACACATTAAGGAAGGAAAATTGTGTTGCAAGCTTACACTGGTGCTAGATGGGTACTTTTGATCGTGATCAGAGTCTATGCAGATCAAACTTATCGATCAGGATAATGAGTTGTCACTGCTACACAATACAGCCTAATCTGCATACAGAATTTCACACAGATGTATCAGCCAAATTGGGATAAGAGCCACGTTTTGCAATACACAAATTGTGATTGTTTTGATCCCCAGTCGGATTTGATCGCGATTAAAGGTGACCATGCATGTGGTAGCACCTGATCACGATCGAGCCTGATGCCGACCAAGCCCGACCATGATCAAAAGTGTCTGTCCGATACCAGACTATTACTCGTGAAATGTAGATTTACACTGGGCTTCGTGATAAGGTATGGCAATATCCCTGGCTCGTTCACATGCGACACATTGCAAAATATGGATGGATCAATGTATAAACTTTATTACATTGCAAAAAGATGGCCTATATAAAATTTCAGTCTGTGTTTTGCGTAATCAATGGCATGGGTATTCAGTTGTAGCACTTATCAACAACAAACTGTCAGAACTGTCCACCTTGCTGGCTTTGATCGGCCAAGAGGTTGGCCTCAATTGTGCCCTATCAGACCAGTTCACAATGTACTTACTGTGCGTGATACCATCTAGAGTTCACACGAGAAAACAATTGCTATTCAAATTGAAAATACCTGGAATGCACCACCTTCTCATCGCTTTCTCTTCTCATCTTTATTCCCCTTCCCCTTAGTGCAGAGTAGCAAACCGGACGCTACAATACCGGTTCACCTCCCTGCCTTTCAATTTATTCTCTCTCTCTCATATCCCAGCCAGGCTTACGTTTTGATAGAGCGATAAACACTCTAGTTTTGGTGATGCCATTCAATACTCAGCTCGGTCTGGCCTTTGAGCGCCATGCGAGTTCAAGCAGCATACGATAAGACTGGTATGCAGTTGGTTTATTGCAGATTAAACCACAAAAAAACTTGACAAAGGCCCGTTACAGCAGCGCGACTCTGCGCCCATGTTCGTCAGCACATACCCAGCGAGAAGCGCCGCACTGGAGGAAACGTAGAAGGCCGCGATCCAAAAGAACAGCTCCCGTGCATGGGCGATCTTGAGGGCAAACAGTCGCTGGTGCATCAGGTATCTCTTGTATATCTGTCTCTCCAGCTGCACAGTGAAAAGAACGAGCAACAGTTTACGCTGCTGCCTATCGTCGTGTGCCACAGGCACGACAAATCAGCACGGGATCGGTTGCACTACTACGCTCTGTTCAGCATTCACGTACTTGGTGATTCTGCATTTCCAACTGCTGTTCCGGAGTGTTATCAGTTGGCTGGCTCCGCGCGAGACCCATTTTACCCAAAGATAAGCGGTGGTGCCCAGCTGCACGCGATGTACGTCTCGGATTGCCTGTAGCAGTCCGGCGTCGGCGTGAACGTCTCCGAAACGAAACTAGAAGGTAGATAACCGGATGCGGTTAAGATAAGATTGACCAATTACCACCGCTACGAGATAACGCAACGATGAACGTGGCCACGTCGGATGAGTCTCATTTTTTTTCGGCTGTTTTCTTGCGCACCGACTGCGGGTTTTGCTTTGAAGCAGAACTCTTTTTCCTACCGAGGCGCCCCCTGAGGGATGGTCTGGTTGGCAATTCTGACACGTTTTCGTCGAGTTTATTTCGCACTATTTCGCGGCGCCGGACGAATTGTCGAGTTTTTATAACAGGCGCGTGAACTAGTAATTAGCGAACGACGACAGCGCGCTTGGTTGTTATCGCTTATCACTGCACCAGCGTGTCCCATTTTATCGCCGCGATCGCAGCCAGCGAGCCAAGGCCAAGCAACAATGTTCCGATTTGAAAATGGCTTCTCCGCCGTGGTGTGCGTGTGGCGGCGATAAATGTTGCGTTTAATTTCCGAATTCCACTCGTCGACGTTGTGTGTGTGAGATAAGCGCGACGTCAAGCATGGATCGATAGGTGCCGTCCACGGTAAGACGACGGCCACGACGACGTGAATGAAATGACAACGTGACCGGAGTCCGCGAGGGCGGATTGTTTTTCTTGCGCCGCGCGTGCCCGCGCCCTCACGTCCCACTTTTAGCGCACAGCTTGCTCGCGAGCTGCTGGAACGAGTTGTTGCGGGGAGTTGCTTCGGGGCCGTACCCGTACGCTCGCTCCGAAGTTACGAACGTACGAACCCTCGCCCGTGTCTCAGCTAAACTGGAAAGCGGGTGCGTTTTTTCGCGGAGATTAAGAAGAATTGGAAAGTTGTGTCGGCGTTCGCTTTTGACCTCAGCGGAGCTGCCCTTTTCCCATTTTCTTGCCGCGTTTTTTTTTTTTTCTCTCGATCACCTTCGGGCGGCCGCCGATCGCAGTGTAGTTTTGATTTCGGCCTGCCGTACGTGCCGAACGGCTTGGAAGGACGGCGTGTAGGCGTCTCCCGCGCGAGCAAACAGCGAGGCAGCAAAAAAAAATAAGCGTTGAGTTCGCGGAAGCGAGCGCCTTGAGCGGGCAGCGCGCAACGTCAACTGCTGCCACCGCGCGCTTTGCGTGTCGCGCTGGCTCGAGTGTCGTGTTCGGGCACCCCGTGGCTCTTGATGTCACCTTCGTCAGAGCGCGGGCGTGCGATTGCAGCGTTGTCTTTGCATATCGCGCAAGGACCGGGTGAGTGGCGGCTCCGCGCCGACTAGGGCGCGCGGGCACACGCAATCGGAAGCCGTCTCTCTCAACTGCGTGGCTACTGGCGTGCGTAAACTTCCCGTAGTACGCTAATCCGAAAGCCCGGCTTTTGCCTGTTGCGTCTGCGCGCTGCCTGTGGTCGGTTGTGGTGAAAGTGGTGGCCTTTAAAACCGCCGCAGACCGCGCACTTTCGTTCGCTTGTCGCCTGCCAGTGCTGCTGTGTAAGGTTGCGCCTGAGTTTATTGTGCTGTGCCTTTCTGCGATTTCGTTTGTTAGCAAGAAACAAACATGATTCTTGAATTTTGTGCTAGGAATACGAAGACGATATGGACGAGTGGGAAAGACAGGAGACGGGAGCCGGAATCCCGTATTACGTCAAGTGAGTAGTAAAACTTTGCAATATTATGGACTGGTTGTAGGAGTCATTAACTGTGATGCATATAAGTAGTGAGGATGTTGACTGTCCTAACATCTTGATGCACTTGAAGATTAGCGGAAGCTCTAAATGTTGGTCCGTCTAATATGTCAAATGACAAATACGAACTATGTAACTTCTTACCAATCACCCTTAAACTGCCACATTTACTGAGGAACCCATAGAATTTGAGCGACTCCACATTCAAAAGACATTTATGCCCTGCGTCATGCTGCAAGTGCACCGCAGTGCAGCCTTTACTGCGGAGTGACTTTGCCAGGTGTCTTGTGTTCCGATAGCGGTCTCTCACGGCAGCTGTTGCATATGATAAGAATTTAATGCCGGCCTTCCGAGCGCAGGCTAAAGCCGTGATTGGTTGCGACTATTTGTGCAGCCATCGAAAGGAGAAGACGCAGTGGGATCACCCGGAAATGGTCCTCATCATCGAGAAGCTAACGTCCTTCAACGACATAAAGTACGCTGCGTACAGGACTGGAGCAAAGCTCATCTACCTTCAAAAGGAACTCTTGTGTGAGTAGCGTGGGACGAACAGCTGTGTGTTTTACGGGTATGGTTGTTGGGCGATCGTTCACGCGTGCTTGTCATATGAAAGTCTGCAGTGTTTCCTGTGCCACGTTTTTTATTATTATTGTTTTGTGCAAAATCTTGCATGCTGGTTTGAGGAAAAGAGAGAAAAAGAAAACAAGCACACATCACTGGTGTTTCAAGTTTGTTAGATGTAAACGAAAGGTAGACACAATGCTTTATAAGTTCCTTCTTTTATTTCTTGATTGATGTATCTGAAAATTGCTGCAGTTGGGCATATTTAAAGCCAGATTTGAATTACGCACTTGTATGTTTTAAAATATGTAATATTAATGTGTCCTTTCAAGAGAAGGACTTTCTAAATGAGAGACTTGCAACGTAAATTAGCATGTCGCAATAATCTGTAATAACTGTCGGCATCACAAGAAAAATAGATGTTATATCTGCATTAGAACAAAAGTTGTGGTGTGTTAAACCTTCGTGAGCAAAATACCAGCTTGATATCGACTCTTCCGGGAATTAAGCTACAATTAAACTACAACTACAGTAGCTGCGGTGCTTGGATGCTGACCCGAAGGTCGTGGGTTTGATACCAGCCACAGTGGTCATATTTCGATGAAGGCAATATGCTAGAAGCCCGTGCCAGTGCACGTTAGAAAAGACCAGATGGTCGAAGAAAACACCAGATGGCCAAAAGATGGTTTTGTAATGTAAAGCCCCCGATGTTGTTAATTACAACTAGAGGCTCACTTTATTGGGTCTTACATCTTGTACAAACGTTCCCTCCATGGCCAGAAATAAAAAGGAACAAGATGTTGTAGTTGCCCTTGATGTGAAACTGTTCAGGAATTACAGGGCTAACGTACTGGAAAGTCATCACCGAGAATAGCAGCTCGAAATTGGGACACCGCAGATGTCCTTGAGGGATTTATTTACTGACCCTCGCTCATTTTTGATGTAGGCAGTAAGTACCCTTGTGCACGTGTGTCAGTAAAAGTGTCACGAGAGCTGCAATTTAGTGCTCTTGGGAAATCCATCTGCTTTTTGCTGCGACATTATCTGAAGCATGAGCTTGTTTGCCTTTTCATTTATGATAAAAATTTACAAAGGAGAAACTTGAGAAGCTTTAAAGTGACAGACATATTTTATTGTAGAAGGATGCTTTTGTGCAAATACAAATTTTTCGAGCCCCTCTTAATACCATAACTGTGAGAATTGAAGAAAGAAAATGTTATCGCATAGTTCTATTTTTACACACTTCTTCGTGCAGAAAAGCTTTTACATGAGTTTTTTTGAAAGCTTGATTCAGTGCGAAATCATTTTGAGGAGCTTGCAAGAGAAGAGGTTGTGTTGGGACTAGTTTGAACTTCGTGTATGAAATTAGCATTGGCCCCACCTCGATGGTTTAAGGGCTAAAGTACTCGGCTGCTGACGTACAGGTCGCGGGATCGAATCACGGCTGTGGCGGCTGCATTTTCAATGGAGGGGCAAATACGGTAGGCTCAAGTGGTTCGATTGGGGCACGTCAATAAACTGCAGGTGACTGAAACTTCCGGAGCCCTCCACTACGGCGTCTCTCATCATCATATGGTGGTTTGGGACATTGTGCCTCACATATCAATTATTTAATTGGCATGTCTGCAAAGTTCACAATGAAGACAACCAAGAACTACCCAAAGCACTTCATCTGTGTTATTCGTGTTTGCTGTCATTGCGAACTTTGCAGGAGGTCTCGTTGCTGGATTGTTTGAAGCTTGCTCAGCAAAACTATGCACAGCATAACAAAAAAAAATACTATGAAATGCACGGCACGGATGGAAGTGCGACGCCAATGGCCCCAAGCTGCTTGAAAATAACAATGCTGCTCCAAACCGTGATTTCTATTAGTAATTGCTCAAAACCTGCTCCGAAATGCCTCTGAGAGAATCAGAATGACGAACTTTTACTGTTTGACCAACTCATAAGCTCTTAAAAAACCAAAAAAGTATCTGCATATCATCATCCCGGTGTTCTACTAGTGTGCGCCATTATTATTTCTTTTCTCCAGCTAGAAATGCAGATTGAAAATTAGCAGGATTGCTTTCATCTCATACCGATTCGTCATCATCTCACCGATTATCTACTGGTTATTTTGCAACGGTTCTATGAAACTGTGGTTACTTCTAAAACGTGACACTCAGCTTTACCTGTTTTATTTCTGCCACAAATACTGGTATTTTAGATATATGGCTTATTTCACACCACATTTCTGATAACCAACCATTATTTTAATTGTTTGAATCTTGCTATTTACATTAATTTCTGTCTGTGAAATATATTTCATAATAAATCTGTGTTCTGATAGCGGTCTGCAAGTGCCATTGAAATGGCACTCGCATATTGATAACATCTGTTCTAAGCCAAACAAAAAACTGTATTTCCTAAAAAAAATGGAACATGCCACACCAGATGTAAAACTAACTGCTTACAAAACATTCATACGTCCTGTCTTGAGTACGCTAGTATTGTATGGTCGCCTCACCAGAAGGTGTTGTGGACAAAAATTGAAAGAATACAAAAATTAGCAGTCCGTTTCACATGCGGTAGATACCGACGCACACACTCAGTCACAGCTTTGTTAAAGTCCTGCGAGCTTGAGTCTTTGGAATATCGCAGGTGAAAACTTCGCCTCAAATTTCTTTTTAAGATTATAAGCGGGCAAACAAAGATAAATAAGGATTTATATATTCGGCCCCCTGGAAGGCGGTGTGATTGTCTTAATAATAATAGAACAATTCAACCTTATTTTACACGCACGAATGCTTTCCGCCACTCCTTTTTCCCAGACACAATAGATATGTCGAATAGTTTACCCAATGCGGTTGTGAAACAAACAACATCAGCTGATTTTGAAAATGCATTGGACGGTTTTCTTTGTAGTGATGCGTACTAAATTCTGTTGTCACCATTTATTCGTAGATTTTTATGTGTGTAGTCACCATTTGTTTCTTATTTTTTATTGTTGGTTATTCATCTCGTATTTAATGTGCTTTTGCATTTTTCTTTTTTGTGCGAATATTATGTACTTTGTGACATCCTTCCTGTAATGACCCCAAGCACGGGGTTGACAGTATAAAATAAATAAAATAAAAATAATAATGTTTATGAGATGCCTAGGCAACGCTTCGAACTCCATTTGGTGTATTGCAATCTTAGCGTCTGCCTCTAAAACACATAAACTTACATTTTTTTTCCTCAACGGTAACATTTATAAATGTACTAAAGCGGTACTGTTCCTGCTCCGCAACATGGTCTAAAATGTAAAGTCACTTCATCACTGGAAATGCCCACAGCACAAGCATTTCAACCAGGGACGGCGCTAGCAGACAGTACGAGGAGGAGGAGGAGGGCTGGAGCCATTTTGGAATTTTCATCTGTCCCCTTCCTCTATGCCCCCCAAGAGCTAACATATCAAATGCATGATTACTTATTTGCATTCCCCACTGGACAACATTGCTTGTCGTGGGTGCCCTCCTCATGAGAAAATCCGCACACCACTCCTGTTTTCAACGAAAAAATATGGAATTGTGAGAGCACAACAGTCTTGTTTTTGTTTTCTTGCAGTCAGCAATGTACATGTGTCGATGCTGGGCAGCGTGTTTGGGGCGCATGGTCTGGAAGGGGCGTCCCAGCACGAACTTCTCCTGGGCTGCGCGCAAGTCGAGGCCATCTTGGAGGACCTCTACAAGCGAGCTCCGGGGGTGCATCAACAGAAAGTGCCCCTGCTTGCATCGCTAGCCCTCAATCTGCTCCAGAACCTTTTCGACGCGTGAGTTGCTTTCCTCCATGTCGGAGTCTATAGCCCTGCAGGTTTTTAAGTTCTTGTGCTAGGAGGCGGTTCAGTGTTCGTTGCTGCTGATGTAGCATCTGCTGAATATGGTCTTAAGCTGGTGTGTTGGTATATGTCTGAGAGGCTGTTGTTCTGTGTTCAGTCCTTCAGTGTTTTGTTACCCCACATCTTTTCCAGAATTGTACTTCAATCAGACATCTTTCCAGTGCAGTTATGTTGCAACTAAATGTGTCCACTTACTTCAGTTATTCGAACGTAACATGACCACGATTGTAACTTTGATGATAGCCTTCCAGTTGTGCAAAATATATAAACAGAAAGTTTTACCACAAATGTAGCTCAATGTAACTACCAAGAAAAACAGGACTACTTTTTCTATGAATTGCATTCATTCCAGAAACCCGTTCACTCATTCCTTTCATATTTCTTTGGGTTGTATGTCTTGCTGTCACCTGTGAAGATAGTTTTGTTTTCACAAAGTTTCGCATGACTTGGCACCGAAGACGTTTGCTACAGCGTTTCTGGGTTCGGGCCAAGCCTGCAACTTTTGCACTGTGCCAAGAGCACTGTCAGCATCATACTCTGAAAAGTCAGTGCCAAGTTAGACAGACCGAGTGTTGTGAAAGGAAGACTACGTGCCTTTGCGGGTGCCGTCTCTTGAGAATTGAATTACCTCATGTGTCGTCGAGCTCATTTCATTGGTTCTCAAAGACCTCGGACCACTTTATTTGGGAGACCACAGCAGCAAGGTCCAAGGGGCCCCTTCGAACAACCAAGTATTTTAAAAAATGGCTTTCAGTAATCTTCTCATCCACGATTCATCTTGTTTCAGTTCAGTTGCTGAGCTGCAACCTAGTTTCCCAGCTTGTCTTTTGAAGCAAGTGTCTTACTGAGCATGCTGGGTCACTACTCTGTCACAAGTGGAGTGGCAAGGTTAAGGGCGCAGGGTACTGCCACAATGAAAATGGCAAGAAACAAATTTTGACTTCTGTTTGCCCATCTATAGATTGAATATGAATGTAAATGCACAGGTTTTTTAATGTAAACGCTCGAAACTGCGGTATTTGGGGTGTATCTGCTTTAAAGTGACAATGCTGCTGTTAAACATAATATTAATGAAAACTAATAGGTAGTGATGCCAAGAAAGTATAGGAGATGTCATCAGTAGTAGAGCATCAGCATTTGTTAATGAAAGGTCGCAGGTTCGGTCTCTGCCAGCGGCAAGTCATCTTTTCGTCCACTTTTGTTCTTGCACGTTTTCATTGCAATTACTCCTTGGCATCATTGTCAGTTAGTTCTCGTTAATATTGCGTCTAACAATGAAAAATGAATTCCTAAGTTTGATTCCTTCAGTACCACTGTTCATTCGCATGTAACACGAGAACGAATAGCAAGCGACGAAAATAAAAAAAAAGCTTTAGCTATGATCAGAGGAGTGTTGGCAAAGAAAACTCATTGTAGTCGGGTAGCGTCCAATGAATAAAGAACAGCTCTCAATCGAGGCAAGTGGGAAGCATGACCGCCCTCCCCCCACCCCCCACCTCAAGTACTACAAACACTGAATTGAGGTGTAAATGCACCATTGTGCTTGTCCAGGACTATGGCCAAAATATTTTGTTGTTGTTTGCAATGATGTTTTGTTTGCATCATAATTCCCATCAGCTGCAGCACCCAATGTACTCAAACTTTTTATGCATGGACCTCTTCGGCCGGAATGCCACATAATTGAAGGAATTCAGTCAAAAACACCTGTCAAGACGACTCGTTTCTGCATGTCCCTGTCACGAATCAGATGCCTTTCAGGATGACCAGAGTATTTTAAGCATATAATAATTTTTTTTTAATACTTGGTTCGCTTTTCATGCTACTTTTTGAGTTTCAAGCTTCACGTGAGCCAAGTATTTCTTTGTAACAGCTGATGTCGCGGCAGCCAAAAGGATAATTTCACTGAAATGAAGCATTACTGATCAAAGTTTGTATTTAGTTTGTCATAATGAATCGTAGACTCGTAGGCAGTAGACTCTTTAAATGAAACCTGGAGGTACCAGGAAAATGAGTTCCAATTAACAGCAGTTCCATTTTCTGAGAGATGAACTGGAGGGCAGAATACAAGTACGAAACAAACCAATGAAGTTTGACTGTCTTTAGAAGAGGATCTGTCCTTTTCGTTCTTCACTCCCTTCAACCTCCTTCCCATCACACTGCATCATGCTGCCTTGTATCAGTTGCAGAAATATGTTTTTCGTAAACACAAGCCACTGTCTTTCTAGATCAACGTCTATGATAGATCTTCCGTTCCTACTCCCCTTATTGCCCTTTGTCTTTCCACAGCAAGCGCAAAGGGACAATCCAAGTTTTGCAAATGAAGATAGCCCTATTTGTCTTCTGCGCTGGCCGACTGCTGGACAAGCTGAAGTGTGAGCTCACATCTACCTTCTTCAACCTAATCTTACCTAACGCAACCAATGATGAAATAGCCATCCATTCAGAGAGTAAAGGTCTAATTTTTGACTTTAGGCCCGTATTCACAAACCTGCCTTACCCTTGTCTCATGTTTCACTTAAGTTTCTGAACAATCTAAGTGCGTTACAAGAGCACAAAAATGGTAAATACCGGCCTACTTTGCTTATCAGATGCACTACAGGCACAAAACTGTTAAGGAAAACACGAGATAAGGATAAGGTTGGTTCGTAAATACAGATCTTACAGTGTACCTTTCGTTCTGTTCATAGACATGTACTATGTTCATTCCTTCAGATATTTGTAACGAGTTGCAAGACGGTACTCATCGCATTTCCTACGAAGAGTTGGAGAACTTCTTGCACAACATCTCAAAGGTACGGGTCCTCAATAACGTTAGGTGTCGAATGTTTTCGTTGTCTATTGATACTTTGTTAATAGCTTTCGCTGCAGCTGTGCACTTTTCTTGATGTTCTTTTTTTTTTTGCTGGCAGATTCCCGAGTTCCTTGGTGAAAAGCTTTCATTTGGCGCTCATTTTGTTCCTGCTGCTGTTGAGAGCTGTCGAAAGGTATGTGTCGTAAAATTGTTTTCAGGCTGAATTCAAGGACCTCGATTCAACCGCAAGCTGGATTGAAGTCCTTGAATTCTGCCTAAAAACAATGAAACCTTCGCTCATGTCTCAGTGCTTTTTAGGCCTGGGACAGATGTCTGTACAGAAAAGTATCCAAATGATAGCTGGGCTCCACATGGCCTGAATGGCAAACTTTACTGCAATGCTATTCTCAGTGCCAAGGCGAAATTCTAGTTCTGACCATTACCTTGCTCCTCTTTTAAATAAGTAGTAGTAGTAGTAGTAGTAGTAGTAGTAGTAGTAGTAGTGCACAGCAAATAAGTGATGTGCGGTAATGTAGGTTGGCATACACTTTACTGTTGCTTTCATCATAAGATGAGTCTTCTCACTGTAGTAGTAAATATAGCAACTTTGGTATAACTGTTTAGGGCTGTCATTTAAATTAAATTGCCAATTAAACATATATAAACACCAAATAAATCTTTCAAATGGCACACCTCTAACGAACACTGTTCACTATCATAATCACCAAGATTAATTCTTTCAACAGCTGAGTAAATAAGAAACATCTAAATTAAACTGATGGCACATGCGCTAGCCATAGTGTTGGTTGTGATGAAGTTTGGAATTTTTTCTTCTTTATATAGTGAACCTGTTTTGAACTGTATAACGTTGGTGACTTAAATAGATTGAAATACAGTAGAAGCCTATTAAACGAAACTGTCTTGAATGGAATTGCTGCTTAAATGAAACAACTGCTCCTAATATGTTTGTTTTCGTACTTGAATATTATACCCCTGTTTACCTTTCAGTAAGTGAAACTCCTCTTAAAGGAAACACGTTTTCCTGGTCCCTTCAGGTTTCTATTTACCGTATATACTCGTGTAAGGGCCGCACTTTTTTTTCGAAAATTTTGCTAGGTGCGGCCCTTACACGAATCAGGCCGATTTAGTACAGGCAGTACAGGCCAAAGGTCTGTACTGTTTATGCAACAGTAGCAGAGTGCAAGAGTCACAAATGACATGCCAGAAATGTTTTTATTCGGATTCCATTTCGCTGTCCTCGTTCTCGGAGGAGCTCGCCTCGGCGTCCGCGTCTTCCCAGAGACGGTCATCTTCGGTGCCGTTCATGGAGTTCGAAATTCCCGTTACCTTGAAGCTTTTAGCAACTACTTCTACTGACATGGCACGCCACGCATTCAAAATCCATTCACACACCTGTTGGAGCGACGCCCGCTTCAGCCGTCCTGTAGGGGTCTTCTCGTGGACGCCTCCAGCCATCCATTCAGAGTAACATCGGCGAAATTCCACTTTGAATGGTCTGTTGACGCATACGTCGAGCGGCTGCAGCACACTCGTCAGGCCACCGGGAATGACGGCCAAGTCCGTACGAGTTGCGGCAACTCGGTTCTTGACGCGGTCGGTCAAGTGGCCCCTAAAGCTGTCCAAAACAAGGAGGGCTTTCCGTTGTAACAGCCCTCCAGGTCTGTTTGCCCAGACGGTCTTAATCCAGTCAACGACCAGTTCCTCTGACATCCAGCCCTTCTCTTGCGCACGTACGACGATTCCCTGAGGGAACTTCTCTTTTGGGAGAGTCTTCCTTTTAAATACGACGTACGGCGGAAGCCTCCTGCCGTCTGCCGTGATGCACAACATCACAGTGCACCTTTGGCGTTCTGCACCAGTCGTGCGCACAGACACACTTTTCGCACCTTTTAAATCCACTGTGGTGCTTTCCGGTGCATCGAACCACACAGGTGTCTGGTCCGCATTCCCAATTTGGGACAGGTCGTATTCATGCTCCCTCCTGAGAGCATTCACGAAGCGATGAAACTTAATGACGTGGTCTTCGTACTCGCGCGGCAGTTTTTGGCAAATCGTCGTTCGGCGCCGAATAGAAAGCTGGTTACGGTTCATAAACCGCGTAGCCCAGCCCCGACTTGCCTTGAATTGTGCCGGGGGTATTTCCATGTGGCGAGCGATGCTGAGGGCTTTGACGCGTATCATGTCAGTCGATACGGCGTAGCCGTCCCTTCGTGTGTCGACGACGTAGTTGACGAGCTCGCTTTCGAGTTGCGGGTACTTGCACTTTTTCCCGCGAAACGCCTTTCGGCTCCTGTTAGTAGCGGCGAGGGCATCGTTCTGATTCATCCAGTAACGCACGCGCTTCTCATCGACGTCGTACTTTCGTCCAGCTTCCCGCTTCCCGTGCTCCTCGGCATAGTCAATCACTTGCAGCTTAAATGCTGCAGTGAATGATCTCAGATGCCGGCCCATCGTCCGTCACGTGCGCTGGCTTCTGCAGGGTTCACTACAACCAACAAAGTGACACCGACGACACCGATCTGAAGTCGCGCTGCCAACGTATCGACACGATGCTAGGAACGATGCCAACAAAGAGGCCGCACAAGGCAAATATGGCGGCGCGCTGTCAACAGCGTGGTCGGCGCGTCGGCGGAAGTAGAATAAAAGCGGAAAAGCGTGCAGCGCCATCTGGCTGTAAATGAACTAACTACACTTTTCTGGCGGGACATTTTGAACTTTTGTTTTTTTTTTTTTCGAAATATCCGCTTTCAAAGTTGGGGTGCGGCCCTTACACGAGGGCGGCCCTTACACGAGTATATACGGTAAAAGGAGTCCACTGTATATTGTCACTTAATATAATAGTGGTGCCTAATCTCACAGGCCCTGTATCTGGATAATGACAAGAAAAAAGCAAGAACAGGTTTTTGTTAGTTGGAAGTAGAATGCCCGCATCTTCGTGTATATGCAACCACAGATGTTGCAATGCTAAGGAGCCATAAATCGGTATCAAGATTCTTATTAGATTAAAATACTAATAATGTTCTGTTTAGGAGCCTGTCTTTCGTTGAACTTGAACAAGCAAGAAAGCATGGCACGTAATAATCCTAGAAATGTTTAAAACCTTGTGGTATGCACTTACCATTTTTGGATACAGTATTGAGAAAATTCACGACCTAGCACAAAATGCTGGCAAGTTTTTGTTGGAAAGTGAAACTGTGTCGTGAAGTAAAATGATCCACTGGGATTATATTTGACGAGGCTCGTTCACAAGCATTCACTTGTACTCATGCAAATAGTTTTTGCATCAAGTCGTTGCTACACGTCAACATCCTGCATAAAATGACCGGGGAAGGGGGGGGGGGGGGGGGCTTTTTTCTTTTTCATCGGGAAATTCATGTAAGCAAAGTGTGGCTTCGTGCAACGTGAAACCCTTCCGAGAAAGGAAAACAGCAGCCACTCTTGAAGAGAGCAAGCGCGAGCTTTTTGCTTCTGATAAGATTAGGTGTTTATATGCGTTGGGCCGATGTAGCGCAAAATGCCGCCCTCGACCTCTTTGGCCTGACAGATGGCCTGGGCCACTCGTGAGATAAGATGAAAGGGTCAGTAATATTTTTGGGGCACGTTGCTCTTTGTTCAGAAGTTTCCTCGGTTTAGCTTTCAATGCTTTATTAAAAAAAAACAAGTGGAAGGAAAGGCCACAAAATTGTCAGATCTGAAAAAAGAAATTTTTTAAGCGGAGCTTATTTTTGCAAATGCACAACAAAGAAACAAGTCGAAGTTCCGCCTATAAGATGAAGAATCGATTGCTATCGTGATGTACTGGACAATTGCACCAAATAATTTTCGTAGTTATGTCGATCATACAGGAAACATTGGCTTACAAATTACGGCAACAGGGTAACCCTTATTATACCTGCGAAATTATTGGTCAGCTAAAAATTGCTTTTTCTTCCCTCGACAAATGACAGAAGCTAAAAAATCACTCGTAAAAGGCCTTTGGCTGATTTGAACATGGCGCTTTCGGTCGTTACAGGGATCGCCGTGGAAGGCCGCGACTAGCCCACACGTGTGCGTGCGATCACACTGAAAAAGCCACGTATTTGAAGAAGGAAAAAAAGTGCTCAAGGTCACTAGGCATGCATGACGTAATTTCTTTGCCAATGCCATTCCCCCACTCCCTTGCTTTAGCTTCCAGGCTCCAGCGCTTTCGTCGAGACGAGTGAAAACGGAATGCAATTGCAGCGTGTGACAAATCTAACTTACCGGATAGATTGTTGAAATTTTTGTGGCGTTGCATTCGTGAGGCTGTAAGCTCTCTTTAGTAAATTCATTCCATGGTTAATTGAAAAAGTATTTCAGGGCCCCTTTAAGGAGCACCAGAAGGTCACGATTTCCGGAGCTTTCAGAAATTGCGTTTCTCATAAACAAGTCGCGGTTTTGGCACGGGAAAACCCAACAATTCTTTCATATTGTAAAAGTGCAAAAAGACGCAAGAAGGGAAGCAGGGAGTTGGCACTTGAGAAGTTCCTGCAACAGCTATTCGTAATGGCATGGACTTTGACCCCGTTTGTGCGAAGATAATGTTAACAATGAACATTTTGTCCTAAAAAAGCGAAAGGCTCAACTTTGTGAGCTTTGATTACTCTCTTTTGGCCTCACTAGTAAGTCAACACTCTGCTGCACTGCAAAACATGCCCTGCAGGGTGTCTGCGTTGCTGTTTGTAGCTTGGTATGAGGAAAGGATATGTGCTATGTAGTGATCGCAGTGTTGCGTTTTCATTGTTCGCGAGACATTGGTTGTAGAAAGTTGCAGGTCTCGTGCTGGGTAAGTGGCGTAAATATCGTGTTTACTGAAACCTCACTATAATGAAGTTGCACATCTTACATGAAAATAGGTTCGTTATATCTGAAAATTTGTTATAAAGGTTTATTCTTAACACTATATCTATTACGAGAATACTTTTATTTTACTTTGTTATAACCAATATTTTGTTATATTCAGGTACATTATATCGTAGTTCGAGTGTAGTTGGCAGTTGTGCTGCTATCGAAAGAACAAACGCACGTTGTGTTGCTGTACAGAATGCAGCTGCCCTTTTATCTTTATGGTGGATTTTCCAGCTCGCACCAGCGCTGCCTGCTGTTCCAGATGACATGTTCCTCAATTGGCTGCTCAGGGAACCGCAGAACCTCGTTTGGATCTCGACATTCTACCGAATGAGGTCAACTGAAAATGGTAAAGCACTGAGTGATTGTTCTCTTGTCGCTCAAGTCTCTGAACTAGAGTTTATTTCGTCCGGCCTTGCCAATTTGTTGGGTGGGCTCGATTGCGGTTTTTTAACAAGTACGCGCCACTGTGCAGCCTATCAGGAAATTGTCATCATCGTAAATGAGTATGTACCATGGAAATTGGGTACATCGCACTACTCACCGCAGGCCCACTAAATATGAAGAAGGCAGCAATTAGCCCAACAAATAGCTGCTATGTTACATTTAGTCAAAGGCCTTGAGGAAAGGCAATGGGTGCTGTGAAAAAGCCCTGAGGTGATAGAAGGCCTGCACCAACAACGACAGTCCCATAGTTCTGCGAGAAGTGCAAATGCTTAGTTTCAGCACAAGTCCATGGAATTTACCCCCGTATTCGGAAACGTTGCTTCACTTCAACTTGGCTTCCCGCCGACTTCAATGCGGCACAAACGCGTTTCGGATGCGCTGTGTCTAGGCAGTGGCATGGCAGCACAAACGCACAGACACCTTTCAAGCACGCTGCATTGAAGGCAGTTTTATGTCAAGTTCAAGTCGAGGATCGCTTCTGAATATGGGTGTCAAACATTGCAATGTGTCTGTGACTCTCCAATTTAACTGGAACCTCTCTACGCTAAGAATCAACGTAAAAACAGCTTAGCAACCTAGCAACGACATAGAGGCAATCTTTAACCTGCATCACCCAGCTAGTATATAAGGCCTAGAAACAACTTAGAAGCAACCAGATTAGTCTTGAGAATCGTCCAGTTTCGCTGTTTCGAGCCTTGCGTGGCTTAGTGCAAGCTTTTTTTCAAGGTCTAGTTTCATTAATTTTATCGAATATCAGTTACAGTTGACTCTCTCTCATTCAAGCTTGAAGGGACCTCTGAGTTTTGTTTTGAATTGTCAGGAAGTTTGAAATATCAGAAGCTCTCAGACAAATGACTGTTGGTGAGGCGATACCACACATTATAATTAGGCATTGATTTTATTCGATTAAAAAATTTTTAGGCATTTTTAATCCTGACTGCATGCAGTGAACATAAAGCAGAAAGGTAGGGTCCACAAGTTTATCGGCCATTTAATGCTGACCAACTGCTTCTTTGATATATGTGCCTTCAGCACAAGGTTCTCTATGCCAGTTGAGAAGCATCACGGTTTGCCATGTGTGTGCTTCGTTTTAAACATTTCTGTATTAGCTATGCCTTTTTGCTTGAAGGTCTGAGACACCTATCTTTCATTTTTAGACAGTTAGGATTATATAAGCACCCAAGTTTTTAAATAGTAGTGGGGAAGTAGCAGATATTTTCTGGTATGGAACCACAAAGGGTATGAATTAGCCGAATGATGGAGTTTGAATTAAGAGGCTATTAAATTATACATTGAAAGAATAGAGGGCCAACTGAAAAATTGAATTTTGTTCGAATTAACCGACAGTGTGAATTATCATAGTTTGAATTATCGTGGGTCTATTGTATTGCCAAGGTATCTGAATACTTTTTTTTTATACTTTGCACCCATACTTCAAGCATGACATCATGAGTTTCAATCTGTTCACTCATAATTAGCTATTGTGGTAGTACTGTTTTCGGCCCTTTCTTGATACAGTGTAGCCCATTTCAGCAGTAAAAAATACAAGTAACAATATCAATCAGGTGCAATTGGATTTTGCAACCCTTGTCTTGCTTGTAAAGCCTCCTCTCAATAGCTTTGTAATATCATAGATACAGTTTACAGCCTAATACAGAACTGCACTTTCTTTTGTTATTGTTGTGATTATCCCCTCAATTTAACGTCTAAAGGGATAGGACATCTGTTCTATTCTTGAAATGTGCAAAAATAGGTTTTAGTTGAGAAATGTTGATTAGAGGGTAGCTGTGACTTGCAGGAGTGGATCTTTGGGAACAAATTGCCTGTTGCATTCCTCCTGTTCTGCCACCAACATTGCTGTCATGAAATACTTTTGTCTCTGTTGCAGTTGCACACCCAATGAAATGTGGAGCGTGCAAAACATACCCCATCGTGGGTCTGAGGTGAGCTGCTCTTTTGATCAGTGCTGATTTGGAACAGGCATCGTTAGCAAGCGAGAAGTAGTCATACGTCCTGCCCTGTTCACAGGTACCAGTGCCTTCAGTGCCTCAACTACGATTTGTGCCAAAGCTGCTTTTTACACGGCAATGTCAGTAAGAACCATTCCATCAAGCACCGGATGCAAGAGCACTGCCAACAGGTAAGCCTGGCTGGAGTTAGGCCGCGTACGGTATTCTGGCACATGTAAGGCACCGTTGCCTGCCTGACCTCCACAAGGTGCCATAGCACTCGCGCAAAAAAAAAAAAAATATTTTGTGTTAATTAAGCTTGTATAGTATCCACTGAGACAACTATTGAGCCCATTTGAATTCAATACACTTGAGACCTTTGCCCTTTCTACTTCTTGCTTGTATTGCATTTGTTATATACTAAAATTGTGACAATATTGCTCAGTAGCGTATTAATTTTTCTTGATTGCTTATTTATTGTTGGTTTGTAAGGCTCATTTGTCTGTCTTGCAATTTAATTCGGGATATTTTATGCTTATGTCCGGATAGTCGCTTCATTCTTTAGGTTGTATATGTTCCGCCAAGGTGTATGAAGTCTACTTTCCATGTAAGTAACACATTAGCAAGCTTTAAAAGGCTATATGTTCAGTTTACATTTGTTGCATTATAAATGAAATCTTGAACTTGGATAATTGATGGTATTGCAGTGAATTTGGGCTTATTGTGTATTGTCTGAACACCTTGGCAGCTGCATTGTAATGCTTGCAGACATCTTCTTGGGAAAAAGTCAAAGCCGTCCTGAAAACCATCAGCCTCAAGATCCAGCGATGGAAGCGTGAGCCCAGGCCCAGTTACCTTCCTCTGCAAGCCAACCCCGAATCCAAGTAATTTCAGTTCCTCCTTGTGAGCCTTGTGTAACAGAGCAGGCCTCCACAAAATTCACGCCCTTCCACACGGAATGTTGTTTGCTCTCCCATTGAAACCTTTCTGCTGTAGGCTACAAGAAGGCAGTGGGAAGCTGTGCACGCATGTGACACTTTTATTCAAAGTGTACACTATTACGCGAAGTGTAGCGGGCTATAAATGAGCTGATGCTCTTGATTATCATAATGACAGTGCTAGTACCTATGTGGTGTGTTATCTCATACAGCATTGGTTACTTTGTCTTCTCAGGGCTCCAGCTCAAAGCCCTAAAGCATATCGAGTGCCACCATCAGATGAAGCAGACTGCGTGAAGACAATGGCTGTGAGTTGCTGCCCTTGCAGTTCTAAGCAATTACTAAATCAAGTGTTTGCGTTTCTTCTCTCTTTTCTTTCTTTTTTCTTTTTTGCTTCTTGCCTTTCTAATAGTGAATCTAAAGCACTGAAGCTTCATATTTTTGCCTTTCTTTTTAGGCAGTAGTTGAAATGAGAAGTCTGAAAAAAAAAAAAAAAAGTCTGTTTCATCACAAGAGTGAAGGAGTGAATGCGTTAGCAACAAATTGGAATATTGCACGAAGGATGACGAGTGGCTCGAAACACATAGCACGCTGCTCAAGCACAATAAATGCACGAAAAAACACACACAGGACGAGCGCAAACTTACAGCTTCACAGTCAAAGCGCAATGGCCAAACTCAGAGGGACACACAAAAACAATGCACAGGTACGACGGATTGGTTTAGTCTGGGCAAAATCTTCAATCTTCGCAAAGATAATTTATTAAAAACCTTAGTTATATGATGCAGTTTTAAGCTGACCCCGCATCTTATGACTACTTTTTGATTTCGTTCAAAAAAAAAAAAAGAAAAACATGTTTGCTCGCATGAGCTTGCGTTCTCCTAGGTTGATGATTAGAAAAGTAGACATAAAGGCAGGATAGGATGTCTTCTTAGAATGGAAAATTCATTCTCCTGGCAGTTCATTCAGTTCCATGTATGCCTCGATCGCATGCGTATGCAGGGTCATTATTTAGAAAACCTCCGTCCAGAGTAGCTTCAGCTTGCCGACAAGCCTGTTTCTGGGATCCTGATATTTGCATGTTTTTGCTGCCTGAAAACTTTTCCTGGTCAACGTACAGCTGATCTGCCTTGGTTTGTGGCACTCACAGTCACAAGCTTGAGCACACAAAAAGACGTGATGCAGCTATTTTCACCGTTTGAATTAATTTCACTTGACGTCAACGTCGTTCATTGTGACTGCGGGACATCACTAGTTGTACTTTACAAGGCAACAAATTACAAAGCGCACAGCTCAGTTGAGCACAAAGGCATTCTACAATGTATCCTACGCTACCTCGTAAGCTCGTAGTTCATCGCCATTATGTGATGGCAACAAACACTGTCTCTCTTCAGACAGGAGGCCTAGGCAATGGGGTTTCGCTTTCGTTGTTGCGCAAAGGCAATTTTTGGACTCAATTTATTTGGCGAAAGGTGCATGTTGGACTCTATCATTTGAGGTTGAGAATAAAGATTCACTCGCACCTGCTTATAAGTAATACTGCAAAAATAACTTGATCTACCTTCCCTGGAGAGGTGCACTTTCATGTCATGGGCTTAATTAGGTGGTCTGTACCTGTGTTTTGCACAAAGCCGAGTTTCACTGCCTGTGTTCTTATTTCTACAGTTATACGATGCCTGACTTATACGACAGTTTTTGTGCGGTCCCCTGAAAGTCGTATAATCGGGGTTCCACTGTAGCACCTGCTTTGGCTGTTTTGGCTAGCAGCTCACTCCTTTTCTAAAAGCAACTGCTTTGGCGAGCGAAGTGACCTTCGTGCACTCTGTAACTTCAATGCAAAAATTTGCAGTGACAGTATCGGACGCACAAGGCTCTGCCTCGCGCGATTAGTCTGGAGCACGGGCAACCACGCGCTGTAGGGCCAAGTAAAGGCCAAACATGCCCATTGCGAAACCTTTGCATGTGATAATGCTCATGTTGAAGTACCTCTGAGCTCTGCGTATCGGCAGCAGCAAATAGCGTGTATAAGTAGCTCACCGTTAGAGTGCTAGAGGATGTATGCTGCGTAGCAAAGTTGTCTAACATGGTGAACTGTGGAGCGAGGGGTTGCAAGATCAAATCCCCAGTCACGTGCTTCGGAAATGTTTCTTCTGAATTATATTTCGTTGTGGCTTCTTTATACAGTGTCCCAACTATCATGCAGTGCAATTTTAAAAAAGAGGAATGCCGTTTCACGAAGCAAACCTCGTACATATTGTTTCCAGTACACTGGAGTGGCCACTAATAATATTTGTTTATGAGGTTTTATTAGTTCATCACAATTGTGTTTTAACTCGATAAGTACTCATGTAATTATCAGAATGTCAATAAGGCAAGCAACAGCATGTTTAAATGACATTCAACTGCCTTAATTTTAGCAGCACACTAATTGTGTGTTCGTTACTTTGTAACTGTTAAAGAAAGCACGTGAAATATGAAATATAATTACACTCCCACCCACCAAAGAAAGCAGCGCCCTCAAATAAGCTTAGTGAAGGCTATCGCTTTTCCTGTGGGCGGTAGCCAGAGACAGTGTTTGATAAAGGTACGCGACGAGCGCTGGCATCATATGTCACAGTTTTGCGGGAAATCTTTCCACGACACACCGTTATCATCATCTATCTCATGGCCAACTGTTCTTAGTGGTAATGTGGCCAAAGCACTGTTCAGGTTATGGCTTACTGAAGACCAAAGCAACGTGCTTCTTTGGCCTCCCCCCTTATGGTGTAGTATAATCCGACAAGATTCAGAGGGGAGGGGGGGGGGGGTTGCACTTGCTCGATAATAGATCAAAATTCAATTTAGTGGCGGACGAGCCGCTAAATATAAAGAATGCACACTCGTGCTGCTAATGCAACGCTTTATTTAACATGCAAGCGTTCACTTTAAAGTGGCTTTCACTTCAAACCAAAAAAGAATGACATTTTTGCATGCCTTATTCCAATTTTAAAAAGATCTTAAGCACGCATTTTTCATATTGCGATGTACAGTGTTCGAACTGTTCGATTCAAAATTACTTGACCAAATCACTATTCACTTCAAATTTGCTTCGAACCTAAAGTTCACTATTTGAACATCCCTCGTATTTACACTAGCGGAGGAAAAGTATTTATGCATAGAGTGAAAACCAGCCAGTATGACAGGTGAAGGGGAAGCATGCTTAGTTCTGGAGGCAGAGCCGAGATATTATCTTGGGCTGTCACTTGTGACTGAATATAGCATTCCATGATGCCTTTACCCGGTCTGTTTTATGCAGGCAAGGGTCAGTGACGCTCCACCGAGAGTTGGAATTTGTGCTCTTTAATCTGTCGCTCTGCCGTGCGCATTCCTTGCACTTGGTGTCTTTGCGGGCATCGTTTTTAATGTTCCTGTCATTCAACAGAACAACGCGCACATGGCACCTTGCATGGACACGCTTCACCAACAAGAGCTGGAGAGCATCATCGAGCGGCTCGAGCGAGAAAACAGGTGGGTCTTGGAGACCCTTGAAATACCTTGCGTGGTACTTTGTGACATTTATCCCATAGGAATCAAGTTCGTCTGGCAATAACTGTAGGCAGCATAAAAACATTGCTTATGACTGAACAGATCTATGTTTTAATCTTGAAGCTGCTCTTTGTGGAGGTGTCCTTGTCTGTTGGCTTGGCGCTGTTCACGGGGGCTCACAGCGTGGCTAGAGTGGGATTCGGTTGAAAAGGAAGGTCTGCGTTGTGCTAAGATGGGTGAGGGTGGGGCTCAGTGGAGAGGGTGAACCAACTAGAGTCACTCATATATGGCGAGGGTGAGCTTGATGATGGTGGGGGGGGAAATTGGCTTCACTGTTTCGACATTGCGAAGTGGAGCCGGCCACACTTTTTGTAAGTCTCAGCAATTTTTTACACATTTAATGATTTTGCAGATGTTTTGTTAAGATTTATGAAAAAGTTCATTACGTTCACAACATTATGTTTTACTCAGTTGTAATGTGTTGGGTGATGCTTATGAGCCAGGCCATAGAAAAAAAAAAGAAACAGTAAAGAATCGTGAACATATTGCAAGAAATTGTCGCGAAAACACAGTACCCATACTTGGGTGTTATCATGGCTAAAGTGCACCTTCTGAGCCGGGATAGTGTTTTGCCTGTGTTTGTCATAGGTGGAGTGGTGAGCAAGAGCCTCCTTGCCTTCCACATGAAGAGGCACGCTTGTTCATCCGCTCACGGATTGTGGATTTGTTGATGTAAAGTCACCTCACAGCTTCACAATTTTGCCAACTTTTGCATTAGTATGGCCCTCACTTTGAAGCAGGTGTCATACTGAGCACGAGAGACATAGCCGCTATTTCGAAACGAACGTGCCAACACATGTTCCTGGTCAAATTGCTATCACAACTGGCACACACTAAAGGAACGCTTAAAGAAACAAGAACTTTATCGCCCGATTTGCAGTCATCATACACTTCATCATGTCGCCATCGAGTCATTGGTATCTGCCAGGAGCCAAAATTTTAGAGATGTGTAATTGGTAAATTTTACGTTCAGAGGGAATTTGTATTGAATGTCAATTTGGTTGAATGATATCAAATTCAGTGGTTCAAATAGTGTATATCGCATGATATTGTTACGGGGAGAAGGCGTCTGAGAAATACCTTTACTTTTGGTAAACAGGCAGGCATACAATATGGAGCCCAGTCTGCACGAGCTCACCCTAAACATCGTCTTCTTTCCTACAATGTTCATTTGTGGCACCCCGTAGCATCACCCCCGGCGGCGAAGGCACCGTCTCGGTGCTTGGTTGGTCCGAGTAATATCGCTTCAGCCGAGTGACGTGAACAACGTCAGAACACGATCGCGCGCTGGTGGCGTTAAGAAGTTCAATTTTATATGTCACATCAGTGACTTGGTGCACCACACGGTACGGACCCGAGTACGGTGAAGTCAGCTTTTCGCACAGGCCAACTCGCCGCGACGGTGTCCAGAGAAGGACTGTGTCACCTTGACTGAAGTGGACATCACGATGGCACGTGTTGTAGACCTGTCGTTGTTGTTCCTGCGAATCGCTCAGACGCCGGCGAGCAATCTTGCGTGCCTCTAGAGCTCTAGAGATCACATCGCGGGCATATTCTGACGTGTGGCTAACGGCAGGAACGGGCGTGTCAAAAGGCAACGTAGGTTCTCGTCCGTACAGGAGGTAAAATGGCGAGAAACATGCAGTGTCATGCCGAGACGTATTATAGCCAAATGTTACAAATGGAAGGGCGGAGTCCCAGTCACGATGGTCGGAAGAAACGTACATGGCGAGCATGTCCGTGATTGTTCTATTTAGCCACTCCGTGAGCTCGTTGGTTTGAGGATGATACGCCATTGTGAACTTGTGCTTTGTAGCGCAAGAGTGTAATATGTCTTGGATAACTAGTGATAAAAAGTAGCGACCCCGATCGGTAAGCAGTTGCCGAGGGGCGCCGTGGTGTAGTATGACGTCTTCTAGGAGAAAGTCAGCGATGTCGGTCGCACAACTGGTAGGAAGGGCCCGCGTGATGGCATACCGAGTGGTGTAATCCGTGGCGACTGCTATCCACTTGTTTCCGCTGGCCGATAAAGAAAACGGTCCTAGTAAGTCAACACTTACCCTATAAAATGGTTCGGATGGGATCTGAATGAGCTGAAGGCGTCTCGTGGAAGGGTTGCTGGTTTTTTGCGGTGTTGACAGGATTTGCATGAGGCGACGTAACGGCAGACGGATCGGTAAATACCGGGCCAAAAGAAGCGACGTCGAACGCGGTCATAAGTTCTTAAAACTCCCAAGTGATCAGCTGTCGGAATATCATGCAACTGTGCGAGGACAGTCTGACGCATATGTTGTGGTATGACCAACAGCAGCTCAGGTTCGTCAGGATGCGTGCTGTAGTGATATAAGACGCCATCTTGGAGCAGGAACATACGGAGAGACAGAGGAGTTGTGGGACCACTAAGCCGAAGGATTATATCTCTGAGGTGAGGATCACGGCGTTGCTGATCTCCGATGTTGCTAAACGCAGAAAGTGCCAAAACGCAAGTAGACTCATCGCTCTCAGAAAGGTCTGCTGGGTCTACTGGATGACGCGACAAGCAATCAGCATCCTCATGATGGCGACCTGATTTGTAGACAACCGTGTAGGAATATTCCTGTAGCCGTAGAGCCCACCGGCTGAGACGTCCACTAGGATCTTTTAAAGATGACAACCAGCATAAGGCGTGGTGATCAGTGACAACCATGAACGGGCGTCCATACAAATACGGCCGAAATTTTGCCACTGCCCAGACGAGCGCGAGGCATTCGCGTTCTGTGATGGAGTAATTTCGCTCGGCTGGCGATAAAAGACGGCTAGCGTATGCAATAACACGCTCACAGCCATGCTGTCGTTGCGCCAAAACGGCTCCGATTCCGTGGCCGCTGGTGTCGGTACACACTTCCGTTGGAGCGCATATATCAAAGTGGCCGAGAATCGGTGGCGTCGTAAGTCTACTCGTCAGTTCAACGAATGCTCTGGCTTGTTCAGGTCCCCACACAAAAGTCACATTTTTTTTAGTACTTCCGTGAGCGTGCGTGCGACGTCAGCGAAATTCCGCACAAATCTACGAAAGTAAGAACAAAGGCCCACAAAGCTTCGAACGTCGTTCGCAGAGGTCGGCACAGGGAAATCCTTGACGGCACGGATTTTCTCAGGATCGGGACGAACACCAGAATAATTGACAAGGTGTCCAAGGACAGTGAGCTGCCGGCGGCTGAAGTGACATTTCGATGAGTTTAGTTGGAGTTCTGCTTTGCGGAAAACCGAAAGTATTGTTGAGAGACGCTCGAGGCGAGTTTCCAAAGTTGGCGAAAAAACAATGGCGTTATCAAGGTAGCATAAGCAGATTGACCACTTGAAACCGTGAAGAACGTCCATCATTCGTTCGAATGTAGCCGGGGCATTGCATAACCCGAACAGCATTACTTTGAACTGATAGAGCCCGTCGGGAGTTATAAATGCCGTCTTTTGACGGTCCAGATCATCAACTGATATCTGCGAGTACCCGGAACGAAGGTCGATGGAAGAGAAATAGTTTGCTCCACTAAGGCAGTCAAGAGCGTCATCTATCCGCGGCAGAGGATACACGTCTTTTTTTGTAACTTTGTTAAGATTTCTGTAGTCAACACAGAAGCGCCAGCTGTTATCCTTCTTTCTCATGAGCACAACGGGCGAAGCCCAAGGACTTGAAGAAGGTTCAATGATGTCTCGGGCAAGCATCTTGTCGACTTCTTGCTGGATCTAGTGGCGCTCGGTGGAGGAAACCCTATAGGGTCGCCGGTGTACTGGATTTGCATCACTGGTGTTGATCCGATGCTGTACGACGGTCGTTTGACTTAGGGGTTGGTCGTAGAGATCAAAGACGTCTTGATACAACGCAACAAGGCCACGAAGCGCAGACACATGCTGGGCCGGGAGAGCAGAGGCAATCATTCCAGTTATGCAGTCTAGTGTACTGCCTGACTGAATACTGGCAGATGACGGTGTATCCTCTGTTAAGGCCGATATGTGGTAGTTGCCGGCCGGGGCAAGGGTTGCAAGGGATATCCCTCGTGGCAGCACTTCAGAGCAAAGTCCAAAGTTCACAATAGGGAGACATGCCTTCATTGTGATGATGTTGTCCTTCATTATGATGATGGTGTAGGGGGAACGCAACATTGAGCGAACAGAGGACTGTAGGATTAGGTGAAATGACATAATTGCCGTCAGCCACAGGTGGATCAGAAGAGACGTCGATATATGTCACAGCTCGACAAGATAGGCGAACAAAGTCGGCGGAGCATAGCTTTGGCGGCGCTGGATCAGGAGGGTCAATGACGTGTGGTAGGACGAGCTGAACAACACCAGCAGAACAGTCAATTAGGGCGGAATGCTCCGGCAGAAAATCGAGTCCCAAAATGATCTCATGTGGGCAGTGGTCCAGTACGTAAAACAGAACAGTGGTATGACGTCCAGCAATAGTGACACGGGCGGCACACATCCCAGTGACTGCTGATGTTGCACCGTCAGCTACTCGGACAGCAGTGATCGGAGCAGGAGTGAGCACTTTCTTGAGTCGAGCACAAAGGCTGGAGTTCATGACTGATATGTGAGTGCCGGTGTCAATGAGTGCTGCCACAGAAGTACCGTCAACATTTACTTTAATCAAGTTGTTGTGTCCGGGTATCGTGTGTTGAGGAATTTCGGGTCGGGTCGTCAAAGCAGGCTCACCTCTAGGAGCTGCGCCCGTCAGTTTTCCGAGGACTAGTGGTAGGAGGGTGAGGGGGAGCGACATCGGTTAGTTGAGCGGTACATGCGTCCAGAGGGCGACGGGGAGCGGGTTGGTTGGGCGGGCCTGGATGGCGAAGCATCATCTTGTTTCGTGTATATCGGCATCCGAGAGCTAGCAGGTTGGCGTCAGGTGTTGGCATATTGCGACCATGGCTGCCAACCCCAGGAAGTGCGGCAATGATGTGAAATATGGCCGACTCGTCCACAGTTGAAGCAGATCGGCCTGTCATCAAAAGTTCGCCATTTTGCCGGGTTCCGGTAACGTGGGCGGTTGTTCGGTCCGCAAGACATATTAGGTGTACTGCAGTCGGTAGTCAGGTCGGTTAACGAGGCATAGTGTCTGAAGTCCGGCGTTGGCCAGTTCCTGGCGTACGACACTTTTGATCAAAGAAATCGTGGCGCGAGAGTCGTCGGGGGCCTGGACTTAGTCAGACAGGGGAGATGCTACCTCGATTTTGTGGCGCACGATGGGCACAATATTGTCGGAAGCAACAGGGGCTGGTGGCAAACAGGCGTCCTCGTAGGTAGATGTTGCAGCCGTGTTGGGAAGACGCGAAAAGTGTGGAGTGATACGGCGACTTTTCGCGTCTTCGAAGCGTCGGCATTCATTAATAACGTCGTCTACAATCGATGAGTTTTGAAATACGAGGAGATTGAAGGTGTCATCGGCGATTCCTTTGAGGATGTGCGCGACCTTTTCAGATTCCGGCATCTTGTCGTCAACCTTCCGGCAGAGGGCGAGCACATGTTGTATGTATGTAACATACGACTCGGTGCAGGACTGGAGTCGGCACGCTAGTTCTTTCTGCGCAGCGCGACGACGCCCGATGGGCTTGCCGAAGAGATCGATGAGTTTGTGCTTACAGATGTCCCAACTCATGATATCTTCCTCGTGGTTGGAAAACCAAACATTAGCTGTACCATCAAGGTAGAAAATATTATTGGCCAACATAAGCGTCAGATCCCAGTTGTAGAGCGCTCACCCTTTCGTACAGCTGAAGCCATACCTCCACGTCAATACTGTCACTGCCCGAAACAGTGCCTAGGTCACGCGGTTCAGTCAGGACGACGGTGCGGTTAGTAGCAGCTGGGTGCGGTGCTGTTGGTTGCTGCGTAGTTGGACGAAGAACGGTTGGGGTAGTCTCCGAAGAATCCTCGTTCTCGTCTTGATCAGGCATCGCACAGGCAGCCAAGGAACGTCCGCTGCGTAGAATCGTCGTGGATGTTGTGGGAAGACCCGCACTCTCCTCTAAAATGTTACGCGGACGAGCCGCTAAAAAATACCTTTACTTATGGTAAACAGGCAGGCATACAATATAGAGCCCAGTCTGCACGAGCTCGCCCTAAACATCGTTCTCTTTCCTACAATGTTCATTTGTGGCACCCCGTAGCAATATAAATAAAAATTGAGGCTATTTGTAATGACCCCAACTTCCCTGCACAATATCTTTTTAAAATTGAAACAAGGCAGGCGGATATGACATTTCTTTCGGTTTAAAGTGAAGCGCAAGCAACTTCTTTGAATAGCAGCAGAATTCGAATTTCGGTAGGATAGCGAGTAATAGTCAGTAAAATATAGTATGCTTCAACAATCACTGCACTTGTAGGATATTAGCCCATGTCAAGCTTTTAAGCTTATAAAACGATCAGTAGATGCGAGGGTAATACAGTTGAGCCCGCTTATAACGAACCTGAGCGTGACGCGGCATCCGTTCACTGTATCCCGAAGTTCGTAGCAAATTAAACACGGCTTTTAAAGCAAAGTTGCGAGTAAAAACACAAACATTTTGCCCCCAAAAAGTCCGTGATGCACGTGTTTCGAAGAACAGAAGCGATAAGGGCGGTCTCGAGTTCATTTAAAATGGCAGGGTGCTCGTTTGCCGAGGCCTGTGGCATAAGCTGCATGAGGCACTAGCTCCAAAGTTTCGTCGTTCTCGCAATCCGATTCCTCGAAATCGCTCTCGCCACATACTTCATTCACAATGCCCCAATCTGTGCATGGTTCCGCATTGTCGGCATCATCATCGGCCCTAATTAAACCATCGCAACAGATGTCCCACCCGCTCTCCCAGGTAGGAGTTGACGACGCGCTGCCACAAATCGCCACCACAGTTCGGAAGCTTCAGGCTCGGCATCGGGCTCGACGTCGACGAAGTAGGCCTCGCGAAAACAGTTTCGCGCGCATGTAGTCAACACCGCCGCCCACAAAATATTCACCATCTCCACAGCTGAATACCAAGACGCCTGAAGCGGCAAGTTGGCTGCCAGGTGGTCAACAGCTATGAGCAAGCGCTCTGCAACGCGACACCTAACGCGCGGATTATGCTGAAGCCAAGCGGTCACACTTTGGACGTTTTTTTGAGCGGCAGGAAAAAGCGTGCTAGTCCTCCCGTCGATCATCATGACCACACACGCACACCAAGAGCTAGCAAGACGCGCACACGCGACACACATGCCAGAACGTGTGGAACAGCTTTGGGCCCGTTTTCAGTCAGAAAACGAAACTAATTCAAGCGAACGTGGCGGGCGTCGCGGAGCGGAGGAGACGGGAGAAGGGGTTGTGATCAACAGAGGAGAGCAGACTTGCGAGAGAAGGGCAAGGAGTTGTGATAAAGAGAGGGGAGGATGCGGTGGGAGGGCGACCTTGAAAACCAAAACACACGGGAACGAGTGCCTCAGGTGGCGCATGTGTCTGAGCCCATTACCACTATTCTAGTACACTGTTGGGAGGAGGCAGGTTGGGTTGCTTGCTTGAAAGGTCCGCGAAACTCGCACGTAGGAAAACTTGGAAAGAGTGCCTGCGCGTGCAGAAGTCAAAGCATGGCCGCCTGGATTGGTGTTCGTGGTGGTGTTCGAAGAATCGGCGGCCGTGGGGGAAAAATCGTTTTGTTGCGCCGGCGGTTTGCAGGGCCTCACGAACTTCGACATTTCGCCATTCATTCCGCGCAAATTAACAGCCGTTTTCGTGCTTATGCACGCGCGCGGAAGGCATGCTGAGCCGAGTGCGAAGTGAGCGAGAACAAGTCCTAAGCACAAAACGAATCGTAAATTATCAGAGTCGGGGTAGCGTACACGCGTGCACTAGACGCAGACTATCGGATATAGTCGCTGGCCGACGATGTTGGCAAGTGGTCTAGTCACTCCAGACCGGCGACACCAACGACAGTACCAGCGATCAAAAACAGGGTAGATGGCCGACCGGTCTTCGATAGATCGGTGGTAATGTACTCTGTGGAACTCTTCCTTTACAATGTATTGAATTTTACTGTATACCCCGCTCACACTATGCCTCTTACAGGGCCTGTGAGGTATTCTCAAATAAATAAATAAATAATGTAAAAACATTGGCCTCGTCTGGTGATGCGGGGTGCTCAGAGTAGCGGGGGGGACAAAGTACGGAGGGGTGCGTAACAAAAAGCAGTCGGGGCATGGCGGAAAGAAACAACTTTCCTTCCTTTATGGGCTGGGGAGAGCGGAAACTAGAGGGTCGCGGAGGCAGGGTCGGCGTTTAGCAATAAGAATGTATGGGCACCTCCGATCCCTGATCGGTAGTCGAAATTGGTTTCCCGGGAAGTCGGTAGACTGCTGACTCCGTTCTCTGTAACCGATTAGCGGCACTCGGAGACGTTCATTGTAAGTGTGATTTTGTGCCATTTAACTAATGTATATTTGTATATTTTCACGGTCATGCGGATATTGTTCGTTTTAAGCGAAAGTTCGTTTTATGTGGGGCCGTTATATGTGGGCTCGACTGTGTGTTCATCTAACTTTAAAATAGAACTTCATGGCAGGGCTTCTTTTAAGGTGTTTCACAGCATAGCACTCCTATTCTGCAGCGAAACCACCTTTACAGGGGTTACATTCAATTTTTATACGTTTATTTGTTCATTTCCAATACTTCGACATTTCCGATTGGTTAAATTTGTATTGAAGTGAATTCAAATACTGTGGTGTTTGTCCAAACATTCAAAGGGCCAGAATATTCGCACAGCTACAAAGTTTCATTCCTGCTTGCAATTCGATAGCTGATTTCCGCAATGTGACTGTGTAAAGTTCAGTGTTGTATGAACTTTGATGAGGAATAGACGGAAAATGTTCTCTCGTGAACGATGCTAGTGCAGCGACGAGTCTTTCTCCCTTGATTCTGATTGGCCCCATGAATTCCTACAGGAACCTTGCCCGCGAGGTAGCTGCCAAAGAACACGGCACGGGTAGCCCGACATCAGTGCCCTCGTCACCTCTCAGGCAGCGGTACCTGCACCAGCACTTGGCGCAGGTGGAGGTGCAGCTGAAACGCATGCGCGGTCTTCTACAGGTGAGAAGCGTGGCGCCTACCTGCCCACTCTCAAGAATTGTTCGTAGAGCTTGAAAATTCGGTTTCACTTATGATTTTGAAAATGTTGCGTCAAGTTGCGGTATGCATTCGCAAAAAGAATGTGCTTGTTAGTCTGGGGGGGGGGGGGGGGGGGGGGTGAAGGAAGGGGATGGTGAAAGTATGACAGGTGCCTGTTTAAAGCAAGATTAGCGAAGAGCTGCGAGTGCTTCTCTTTCTTCCTTCTCATTTTCCTTTTTCCTTTCTTTCTTGAACTTTTCGTTGCCACAAAAATGTTTCGTGAACACCGTGTTCAAGAAAAAGGCAACCTAAAATACATTACCCAGACAAGTTCTTGGAGCAGGCTAAAATTGGCAACAGTGAAGTTATAGAAAATGATACTTGGCCCTAAAAAATGTGCATTACTTGGCATGTCGAAATTTGGTGATCTATAACTGCCCCATCTTTTGATAGAAATACACTAGACTCGTTTAATGGAACCTGAAGAGACGAGAAAAATTTGTTTCATATAACAAGAGTTTCATTTACTCGGGGAGGAGCAGGGTTGTAGAACCAGAGTAAGAAGCCCATCATATAAAGGGCAGTTTTTCCATTAAATCAGCAGTCCTGTTTAGGAGATTTTCATTAACTCAAGGTCTACTGTAGTATCTGCTGCCGCAAAAATGTGGGCAGTGTGCAGTAAGTGCCTGACTGTGCCTTTCCTTGCTGTTCCACACGTAGGCGCTATCAAGAGAGGAGATGGGCTGCACCGACGCCGTGATGTGTGCTCCCAATGGTGTGGCTGGTGGCGGTGGTGTCAATCATCCCTGCTTGGCCCCCATGGCGAACCCTGCCTGGCTTCAGAGCACTCCGGCCAATGGTGGGCGAGTGCCGTGCAAAAGTATGGATCGGTTCATGGAGATCCACAATGGTCTCAAAGGTACATGCAGTGCATCAAGGCCTTGCTAAAGGGACCCTTTAAGAAGCACACACCACTGATTAATCTTTAACTCCATATCATAGAAGAACTAACACCTTCAAATTTTCTTTTTTTCCTCGCACTATTAACGAATGGAATTCACTGCCATTATCATTGATTGATTCAGTTGAGTCAATTGACCTGATCGATTTCTCATGACCTAACATTGAAATTGAAATGGAAGCGTTTATTTTGTTTGTTTTTCACCTTTTGAAATGCTGTGTTTTTGTTTTGCAATTTACCCCTCCTGCCTGGGCTCATGTGGGCCTGCAGTATGTTGTAAATAAATAAATAAAATAAATTACTTGAAATGTTTATTGTAAGGACAAACAGATTTTAGGCGGTTCTTTGTGGATTCTGTTTCTTCTCTTACGTCACTGTGTTCTTATATTTCACTGTCTGAAGCCACGTTGAACCAAGTAGCCGAGCGTTGCACTTGGCTACTACCCAAGTAACTAGTTGACCTGAGGCGTAGTCGTTAAGGCAGTGTGTTGAGTAAGATGGTGGGCTGTGAGCCTTGCAATAGCAATATGTTTATGCATTGTGTTTCAACAGCAATGGAGGCCCCCATAAACGCGCCCACCCCTCCGCCTCCACCACCAACACCGAGCATGGTCTGGGAGCTGCGACGAGACGTAGCTGCAAGCTCATCCACACTTCCAGAACCGCCTTCGCCCATTGCCTGTGCCCCTCCCTCGGAGGTTGTCAGTGCCTGCGCAAACAAGGGTACATTGGTAAGTTGGCATTTTTTTTTTTATATAAATGCGCGAGCAGTGATATTTCATCTCGAATTGAATTGAAATTGATTGGGGGCCATAAATATTGTCTACCACATCACATGTGCACCGAAAAGAACCAGAATATCTGTCAAACTTTACGAAACAAAGAAAAAACGCAATGAAAAGTCGACTATTGTCTTACATACCGCGGTCATTGGCAGAAAAAAATGTGGAAGTCTTGCAACAATAGGCAGCTGAAGTGAAAAGCCTCCGTTGCCATCGTGAGCTTCAGCAGCGGCGCCAATGGGCAAGGCTAGGCAAGGCCTGCAGTGTACCAGCAACGCCATTTTGCTTCGGTTGTCTTTGTCAGTCTGCTGTTTTCTTTTTGCTATTTCTTTCAGGCGTGAATGGTAGTCGACGGCAGTTTACGATAGGCTTTAAGAAATAAGTTATCGAGTATGCCAAAGAGCACAGCAGCCTGGCGGCACAATGGGAATTCAGTGCATCGGAGAAAAGCGTGCGATACTGGAGGAGCAAAAAGCAGGGCATAGCATCCTGCAGAAACAAAAAAAAAAATCATTTTGTGGACTGGCTGCTGTGCACCTCGAACTGGAAAAGCTACATGTCGAATTCGTCCGGGAGCTGCGTGCAACGTTGCTACCCGTGACTGCAGAGTGCATCTGTGTGAAAGCTCTCGAGATAGCGCGCAACTTTGGGCTCAGATGTACTTCTGTCTTTATGCAAATGCTGCATCATTAACGCATTTCAAGGAATGGAGGACAAAAACTCTCGGACATTACTAGTGAAAAACGAACTTCGTCGGACTCAAGTTCGGACGAGTCTGAATGACGGCACTTTGTGGCCTTCTACATAAGATTAGTGTCCAAATAAAAAGAAATGTCACCACAGTGCAGCTAATTGTGTCGCGTATTTACAAAGGTAAGCCTGCATTGCGATACTTTGTGATTTTTTAAATTTTATTTTCTGTAGATTCAAAGTGTGGGGGGGTCGACCTATATTCCGATTTTTACGATAGTTTCAGTGAAAGTGTGGATCGTTGCTGGAAAAGATGCAATTACAATCGGTGGTGACACTCCTATTGGCGATCAACAATGATTTGTGTAGGGCATTCTGCTAGTCTGTGGTACAAATTTGTTTTTTTTTTCTTTTTTTTCTTCTTCTTTTTTATGGCTGCTTGCTGCATATTGTGCTGAGTCATCACCACGTTTTGCTATCAGGAGTGCTGCAATTTTTGAAAGACTTTAAAAAAATGATTGAAAAAAATTAAAAAACCTGAGGTGGTGAAAATTTCCGGTTTCCTCCACTACGACGTCTTTCATAATTGTTGTGTGGTGTTGGGACGTTAAACCCCAACAATTATTATTATAATGAATATTCATGCTGCCTCTTGTTGCTTCTAAACTTGCTTGTGATTACTTCTTGAATAAACACATGCAAAATGCTGCAAAACGGGAACATTTGAGGTACGCACGGTTTATTTTGTGCAGATGAGCGATGGTAATCTCTATGCAGCAAAGCTCACAATTCCACAATGATTTTTTTATGCAAGTAAGAATTTGTTATATCGAGTTTCAACTATACAAGAGGTGTAAAAGTATGCTTTTAGCTTTGCAAAAGTACATGTATATTTGTGAACATGCTGCAATAAGTCTATGACAGATATTTCAGATTTAGATGAGAAAGAGAAGGAGAGAAAAATTATGTTCTCATATGTTCTCATTTGAAAAGATAGTTCAGGAGAGGCACCCTTAATCCAGGACGCCTTCAGCATCGACAGCGTCCAAAACCCTCGTGATCCTCGCAAGATGATAGGTAGCTCACAAACATTCATATGCAGCCTTGAAAACTTGTGGAAGCATAGCTCTGGTGATTTCGTGAATTGATCAGCGCTTCATAGTGGTAAGAGGATGAAATATTGACTTTGGTATTCACCTGAAACCTGCAGGACTCTGCAAAGGAATGCACTTTTGGGGACTTGACGTCGCCAGTACGGTCGACCTTTGTGGTTGACCCCAGCAGCACCACGGTGATGGGCAATGGCTGTCCCGCCGCACTGCCCGGGCTGCCACTCGACGGGGAGCTGGAGAGCATTCTAAGGCAACTGGATGACCTCCTGTCCGAACCCAAACAAGGTTGGCAAGCGCTTCACATTGGCGCCGTCCGTGTTAAAGCTTGTCGGCTTTAAGCCTGGCAAACTCTATAGCCATGGCAAGCCAAAGAATGCAGTGGCTAATACATTGCCATCGAATTTGTGTCACTCAATTGTAAGAGAATTTGTGTCACTCAATCTGTAGGATCATTTTTCGGGCATAGAATTTCGAAATGAGGCTTATTTTCTGCAGCTTATCCACCAAAGTGATTCGTAGAATATGTTCCTTCAAGAACATCAGCGAGGCATTTGTGAAACTAGCATACTGCTACTAACAACTATTGTTAACTGAAGATCACTGGCAAAAAGGAACTTTTATACACAGCACTCACGGATTGAAGGACGGCATCAGTATGATTAGTAGAACTGGTGTGCATAGTTGCCCGAGATCGCAAAGCGAAGTTGAAGCAAATTTGAATAGTATTAGGGTGCAACTTATCAAGTGCTAAAGTATGTTGTATTGTAAAATTTGCCGTACTTAATAGTGTCGTTAAGCCCATGTAATGCTCTTTTTTTAATAAGAAATATTAATGAGGGTGCAGGTAATATGCACACTTAGCCTTGATGTGTGACCTCGCGTTAGTGTTGCTGACTTCTGTATACGTATTTTAATGGCATGACAGTCTTGCAGAGCTTCAGTTAAATTGTTTCAGGTGGGTTACGTGTAATAAAATAGATCTATTCATTTGTTTTGGACACTTTGAAATTTTGTATGTTTAAAATATGTCACAGTGAATTGGAATGTTGTGTGCCTTGTAATGTTCGAAGTGCTCTAATATTCACACATGCATTTTAAGTATGAGGATTCGTGGCCTCCTAATGCCCTGAAATCTGTTTCTGTGACAAAACCCGATGTCACTGCAGCAGCATAATTGGAAGGTACAGACTGAGAAAAGAAAAAACAAAAAGCTTTTCTGGCAAGAATTGTAGAAGCAGGGTGGCTTCAACCAAAATACAGCAATTGTAGGATTGTAAAAATTGCTCAAATGCTATCTGCAGTTCCAAAAAACAAAGTTTAATTTCTCGAAGTAGATTATTGCACACGTTCTGATGTTTTCTGATGTTTTCATCAATGTAAGTGGGTACAATTTGAAATGGGGAGGCCTGTTGCCTGTTATTTGTATCATTCATTGATGTTTTGTATTGTAAATTCAGGATGCCCAAGCAGCTGATCCACTCAGCTCAATTTCTTGCGTATATTGATGTGTATGCGGTTTTGTTAATAGTTGGTTGTTTGGGGGACACTCATTGAATGAGCGAGGTCATTCACTATCAAGAAAGTGCTCAGAGTTTTGAAGTACTGACACGTTGTTACTTGAAGGGCTTGCTTTTATGAGCAATAACATCTAAGCAGCAGTTTGCGTCTTTTTTTCTTACCCTTGTCCTATTCTCTATAGCCGAACGCTGATCTTGGTCTCACTTTAACGATGAATATGCAAATCTTGGTTCATCGTAAGTAAACAACGGTGCTTGGGGTGTGTGTGTGCGTGTGTTTTGCTGAATATTGTAGCCTTATTCTAGTGCCTAGAGCATGCTGTACAAGTTTGTATTCTACTAACATGATGTGGAATGAAACTTGGCCATATTACTCGGATTGCATGGGTGGGGGATTTATCAAGTTATAGACACTTTGCTAGGACTCAAAAAAACACACCTTTATTATTTTTTGGGAGGAAGCTTGAAAATGCTTACTTAGTGCTTGGAATGAAGATTATAACTCTTTTATAAGATTGTGGTTATAGACAAAGCATGCAATATGTAATTAAGCACATGGTTTTCTCATCCCTAACACGGTATCAAATGTGCACGAACTTACGCTTTGCCTGGAACGCTCTTTTTTGCTTACCATTTCAGCACTGTTGGAAAACCCGGAGCTGCATTTAACGCTCGCGCAAGTGTCTGCATTGGCCTTTTTAAGCGACTTCGGTGACTTTGGGGCACTCGCGAAGAACCGTGAAATGTCCTGCATGGGCAAATTGTGTTTCAGTGCACGGCCAACTTAAACCCAGAGGGGGCTGTACTTTCATCTTTATAATAACTATTTACTTTCTTGCTGCATGGCACGAGTATGCAAAATCTTTTTGTCGCGAACTGTTGTGTTTTTTATTTACGCATGCTCTTGGTCGGAATGTGTACTTCTTCTGAAATCTTCGAAGTAAGCATCTCCTTTTCTTTTATCTCTTTCTCTAGATTAGTGCGTCATCTTGATAAAGGGCCACTAAAGAAAAAGTCAATTTTTCACGTATTAATAAAGTAACAATTTCATCATCTCTTAACAACTAGGCCACAGGCATTTGCCTTCTTCAGGTATGGAACGTCCCATTTGCAAGCATATCTGTCGAGGCTCTTCCCGCCTTTGGAAGGCACTGATGGCGTGTAGTCTAATTGACATTATTCTATTTGCATTGATAATACTATCGCAACACTTTAACTGACACTTGTCAATTTATGCTTTTTTGTTGTTCCTTTTCTTGTTGCTACAGTGGCTTCTTGAATTTCTTGGGGGCGTATTTGGGAACAGGTTCGATGCTTCATGCTCAAAGAGCCAGTTGGGCTTAGCATAGCGAATATGATTTAGAAAACAAGGATGAAAGTTTAGTACGAGACAGACTTAGCTGAAGTTGAAAGCTGTGCCATTTGTCTTCGCCTTTCGCCCTCGTATTTTACACACATTCTTGCTAATTTAGGAACCCTTGGGGCTTAGGATGTTTATTTCAGTATCATGTGTGTTGATTGCAGGTTACAACTCTGTGGCGGTGAAGAATCACGTCATGGAGACCGTCAATCAGGTTCAGCAAGTCATGGACCGAATGAAACAGACCTGCTGAAAAGGCAGTTCCCACCAATGTTTTTCGCAGGACCAGCAGATTTCTGTAGCTTCCCATTCAAAAGTTCGTCTTTTTTCCCCAAAATGTTTTTATGTACAGTTAGGACGTTTCTGGACGTATTGGAGAAAAGGTGCGCCCTGTAATGTATTTCACGCTGATTCAGCCTGTATAGTAAGTTGTGCGCAACCGTGCTGAAAACTGGTACACATTGCAACTTTCATGTAATCATACCATTTGCAATGATTACCATTTATGCTGGCGAACCTTTGTCTGCTGTGTCGTGCAGTTGGGAAGCATCTCAAAACAAGTCCCTAGTACAGGAAATTGCAGTTGATGGTCATAATGAGCCATTTATTTTTTATCATTATAACTAGACTGCATGTTAATGAAACATTGGGAACAGCTAACTATGTAAATGTGAAATGATATGTTATGTTTGTTGAAGTCTCTGCTCTCTGATGGAATCGAAAAGCACTATTGCGAAAAGCACTATCTATAGCAAAATCTTAAACTGCTTCTTCTATAAAGGGTCACGAATGTACTTACCAATGGGGAAATCTCCATGCTGACTTTCTGTGCTGTATGTGGCATGAGGCGAGTGCTATAAGGGTATCGATTTCATGTGTACCCACTGGCTGTCGCATTGTGGTTGCTTAGCTCGCCGTATTCAGCTTTTTGTCAGTCCTACAGATCCGGATTGAAACGAGTGTTAGTCCTTGCATTCAGCGCAAGTGAAGAGGGGGCTTCGTTTTAGTAAATTGTTATACATCTGTTTTTATAGTTGAGCATATTTTACGTATACCTAAATGCATACTTCTCTGTAATCGCGGTTTCCAGTCATACAGTTTTGTGGACAGATGCTTGGTGTGACAAGCGCATTTTTCCATGACTTTACACAAAACTTTGTTATGACACGGTTTAGCGGGCCTTGTGCATGTGCCAGGAGGCAACGACATTCCTACCGCGCACTGCCGTTTGTGGAGTGTGTGTAACATGTCGCCATATAAGGGGAGTTGCGTGCTGTGTACAAACTCTCTAAAGCCGCCATGCTTTTTTGCTGAGCTTTTGCCGCTCTTTTGTTTCTTTCTTTAATCTGTTTAATAAGCCCACCAGGAACATGTCTCCTTGAAGGAGCACAACTGATTGTGTAGAGGTGCGGAAAGCTGAATTTCGGCTAATGGAACATTGTCCTAACTGTGCTGAAAAGATGCAGAGGAGGCCAATCCAAGCTTTCTAACTAGCCTCTGCTTTTTATGGGTGTTGGTCATGCGTGAATTTATGTCCACTGTGCGAGTGTATGTGCGAAGTGCATTTAACAGAACTCATGACATATGATCTGTATTGACATACGCCTTTTTAACCTAATGCTTCTCAATGCTGCTGATTGGAAATAGCATCAAACCTTAATTAAAGTAGCCGTTTGCTTAGTAACACCTATGGCAGTTGTGCTGAAGAGTATATCTATAGACTGCCTTGGAGGCAGGGTTTCTTCTTTTTTTTCAAAGGTACACTTCAAGTGTCTAATTATCAAATTGTAGCTCAGAAATTTATTGTATTTATGCATATTGACCTCTTGTGTCCAACTGGGGCCATACAATGGGGGTGCAGCAAGAAGGGGATAACAAAGTGTATGTATGTGTATGCATGCAGTGGTCACTGCGTGCCTTTAGTGTACGAGGTTTTAGCCTTGGAGCTTCAGCCCCACCACGGTGGTCTAGTGGCTAAGGTACTCGGCTGCTGACCCGCAGGTCGCGGGTTTGAATCCCGGCTGTGGCAGCTGCATTTCCGATGGAGGCGGAAATGTTGTAGGCTCGTGTGCTCAGATTTGGGTGTACGTTAAAGAACCCCAGGTGGTTGAAATTTCCGGAGCCCTCCACTACGGCGTCTCTCATAATCATATGGTGGTTTTGGGACGTTAAACTCCACCAATCAATCAATCAATCAAGCCTTGAAGCTTCATTGATTGTTCATGCTGTGAATAGTAGTTGAAAGATGAAATTTTTGAACTCTAGGTTCTTATGCACAGCAACCGCTCTTAGACTGGGGCGGAATGTGAACATTGCCATGTACTTAGATTTGGGTGCACATTTAAGAACCCCAGGTTGCCAAAATTTAATTGGAGTCAACCACTGCGGGTGATCTCATAATCAAATCGTGGGTTCGGCACGTGAAACAGCTGCATTAAATTGTTTCCGTGTCTATATAGGCAACAAGAATACCAATATTTTGACTGGCATTTTCGCACTGTTAAGGAGGTTGGTGAAGTACCCTTTATCGGCAATGGCTATATATCGCAACTCGCGGTGTGTCATTCAGGACTGTTGGAAACAGTAATCTTTGTGCAGCTACAGGCAAGCTCTACATGTTCTCTGTATTTTGCATTTGGTATTCGTTGTGCCGTGTCTGCTGTAATTGTAGCCGTTTTGTGAAAGGTAATGTAATATTTCTGTCATAAAGTGTAAAAATACAGTAGAACCCCTTTATGAGGGACATGTAAGAGACAGCTGGGTATAATAACTATCAATTTGCCGGCGTCAAAATAGAGGTTGATAAGAAGCTACGACCGTGGCACCCTGCTTGTAGAAGACGCCCCTCGTAGAAGACAAGAATCGCTCACTGGTGCATGTCTCTTACAAAGGGGTTCAACAGTAATATAAACTTTCAGTTGTTCCTAGCGAGTTTTTCGAAGTGCCAATGTGTGGGTGTGTGTCGCAGTGTGTAGTGATCGAAGTTCGCTGCACAGCGATGGAGTTACTTCATCTGTCTGTTCCGTTCCAGAGTTGTCATTGATGCCTTTGGAGTGTGATGAACTCTCATCATTTTGTGGGCAGCTGAACTTTATCCCTGTTTAAGTTATCATGGTTCCCACAAACTTCAATTTTCCTACGAGCTCTCCAAGAATGGCGCCATGTACACGCTGGGTTTTGACGGGGAGAAATTTAGTGACGTCGAATTGTGTTGTGGAGCAGCTGGTGACATGGCCAGCTTGTTGCTGTGTCGAGACTACACCGCGCAGAGAATTGCTGACAATCGTTCATCTTTGCTTCCAAGTTGCATTTTCTGTTACGTTACGCTTACTTGCATTGACTGTTCCGTGAAGCCTTTGTCTGCGTGATACGTAATGCTCATTGTCCAGCTCGAAGTCGTAACGGGGCAACAGGTGGTGTCCAGCTTGGTAAAGCTTCCCGAGCCACGTTTTTTGTTGTTGGTCATAGTACATATGGCTTGCAGATTTTTTTCTTTACTTTTTACAGTACAAGAAACATTTATGCTGGCATTTTCATGTCTTACACTTCTAGAAACATGTTTGTTTAGTGAATTGTATTCATTTCTGTTCAGTGCAGTCACACAGTACCTGCAATGATTTTCACATCCGTTTTATCATATGGGGGACACAATATCTACTATTAGGGATCATTTTTTGTTTATGTGTATATAGTGCAACATTGATATCAAAAGTGGCATAGCCTCGAGTGCATTATATTAACAACTTTTTGACGGAAGTCCAGACACATTTTTGACGGTCTTTGTTGTCTCGACAGGAACTACATATAGCGGGTTAGCAAGTATTTACATTTGACATCTTGCCTTTTTTTTATGAAGAGTGTCAGAACTTTTGGAGCCTAATCAAAACTGTTGAACGTGAGTGCCGTGCCTTATATATAACTCTTGTAACATTGTGTCAAATATGTGAAGTGTCCAGTTTCGCTAGCGTCATTATACTCAATAACTATTAAGGGGAGTGAATTATTGCATGCTGCATTTCATGTAGTTTGTCTATGTGTTCCACAATGTGCAACTTTTGTTTATGCTGCTAGTTGTGTACAGTACGGTTGGCCAGCAATGAAGCCGACGTGATGCGGACGCTTCTTCCTTGCCAAAAGGTAGGAATGCCTTGCATCACACTGTTAGCTCACATTTGTGCATTGATAATGGCCTCCATGCCTCGATAGGTTTATTACAGCTTTAGTTGGTAGCTATTATTGTGAATGCTTTCATTAAACCATGGTCTACATATTTCCTTATTCATCAGGAAGCACACTAGATAAGTCAGGCTGTAGAAATTCGTATGTCTGCAAAACTTTTATAGCATGGCATTATTAGACATTGTTTTTCTCGTTTACATCATATCTGTCACTACTTTAGACTGTGACAAGCATTCTACTATGAAAGGATAGCTCAGTGAGAAATACTGGAATTGTGCGAACTTGCTTTTTTTTTTTTTTCTATCTCTCTCTCTCTCCTTTTTTGATGACGACAAGTTGATCATCAGAGCGTATTGACGTTACGCATCCTATTATTGTACCCGTACTGCAATACTTCTGACAACCTGGGGGACGTTTCTAATTTTATGTTTGCCTATGCCATAGTGTTGTTCTATCTTGCGAAAAACTCGAAGATTTTTGTGTCACTGAAATAAGCAAACAACCAGGTGTAAGCCGATGCTGCCAAAGTCTGTGACGTCATGAGTAGCTGGTGCTAGAATTTGAATATGCTGTTACTAGTAGTATTTTTAATATCTATAACATTTGTGGTATGCTGAAGTTCGTACAGCAAAGCTAATCAATATAGGAACAGCCGCTAGCTCAGGAGCTTGATACACTGCTGTAATGTTACACTTTTTGTTAAAATCTTCTACTGCACATTTGTTTTATTTGTTTCTCTGAAACAAAGTGCCTTTGGGGGAGTGCTATTTTTCTAAGATATGAAACTTTTGCATCTTTCCCAGAAACTAGTTAAACGAACACGTTTGTGTCGGGTCATTTATTGTGAAAGTGTGTTTTTCTCTTATCTGACTGTCTATCTGACATTACTCTTATCTGACATGTACAAAATTAAAAAAAAGCAGTTCGCAAGAGACTAAATGGTTTTAGCTCTTGCTAGCCACCTATTATGATAATGCTATAGATCTCGCATGGCTTTGACCTTAGTCTAAACGATAATTTTGTGGAACATTCTGAGGTCAAAGTATGACTCCTTGAAAAAATTATTCTGAAGTCAACCTTCCAACGTGGTTTTGTAAAATCTTGTGTAATGTTCTCAAACTGTTGAATGTATCAGCGCAACCTTCCAGCCATATTTAATAATGTCAGAGTTGCACTGATGTGGCTGTTGTTCAAAACATTGTCGTCTTTAGTTTTCGTACTCCTGGCTCCTTTATATTCCCAAATTTCGTGGAATGCTTTTTTCATCAAAGCAATGTTCAGCGTGCAAAATTTTGCGTTGACATTTGCACCGTGCAAAATCAGCATTTACAGGGTTTTCTCCGACACTTTCACTGATGTTGACTTTCGCTCTCCCATTCTAATAATGCATTACACAGAGAATTATATGTCCAAATATGAAATATTTTGTATATTGTCCTAGAAAATCTCTATTGCCAGCTCTTTGTGTGTTTGCTGAGAATTTTGTCAAATGATGCCAACAGACTCTTAGATGCTAATGGGTGGACAGATTGTACCACGCTACAAATGCATGGTGAAACATTTTAGCAGTTGTTCAGCCATGGTTGTAATTGTTTTTAAACGAAGTTGCATTAATTGTTACATGCTGTTTAAATAGCATGTGAAGGAACGACTCCCCTGGATTTTTTTTTTTTTTTTTTTGTAGTTTGTAGGGTTTCACAGGTAAGATCGAAGCCTTTGAATAGAAAGCTAAGAATATTTTTGTAATCTTTTTACCCCATAAGCTGTTGCTAATAAGAGCATCGACCGACCAGCTGAAGTTCTATCGTGCCTGTTTCTCTTCGAGCATGTTTAGTTGCACGGCGTTACATGGTGGTGCCTTCACAGCACACATTGTACTCTTATTGTTGGATTTGCTCTATCAATGCTGGGTGGCATGAGTGCTTAATGAATAAATTTACTTTACTGCCATGAATTCCTGATGAATGACTCTTCACATTTACAACGTTCTACGTGTGCACACAAGGAACTCTAGTAAACTGCTTTACAAACCTGTTTCTTTGGTGACAGGAGAACTGCAAGAACTAAAAGTACAACTACAACATAAAGTGGCATTGCTTTTAAATCATGCACGCACACAACGCTGTACACCTAATTTGTATTTGATCTCCATCTCGGGTGTGAGTTGATTTCTGATACTACTTTTGCTAAAATTATAAGTACGGCTAGGAAAGTCTCTTCTATCAGTACTCTGTCATCGTTATGTTCAATGTTCACGAAAATTCAATGAGCACTTGGTTCAGTGAGCATTTTATCTAGCCATGGGATCAAGAAAGTTCCTTGAACAAAAGATTTACCTATCTATTGCGCACAGCTAGGGGTGGATGGATAAAGGTGGGTGCCAATTGTCGATTTACTGACGAGCAGTGTGCTTCCACGTGCTGTTGCCTTTGCTTCGTCAAGCCACTCTAAAGCGTGTACTGTATTTGTATCTTGTACAGCCTATGTACAGATATCTAGGACTGCTGTGTAGGATACATTGTTCTGATGCTTCACTACTGCGCAGTTTGTAGCATCGACCCGTGGTACCTTTGGAGCCACTTGAGGCGTTTTCATTGTACGGCCCATTGCTTGAGGCCAGCGGCAGCCACCTAGTTTTCTGTGCTACCAAATACACGAATTTCGTATGGCAGTTTCTGTGCAATTCCGCAGCGCATTGCGTGGCCCAACTTTTGCCACCAGTAGGTGCAGTTACCATTATATTCGACAAGAACATGCTTGAAGCTTCT